AAGTAGCATTTGTCCTGAAAAAAGAAAGTGTTAGTTGTTTTTAGTTCATTATTATCTGTACAAAAGTAGACAGTCAGACACAAGTTTTCTGTTTTTATTATTTTCAAAATGTTACATCATTTATACTTTAAGTTAGTGTGTATGGTGGGGACGCGCATTCCTAAGTGAAAACTTTAGCATCTGAGGAAACCTGGAGTGTTCCTGTGTCAGTAAATATCAACACCCCGAAGGAACACTCGGGGTGTCCTAGATGGAGTGTATGGATCGCGTGCGGCCTGCTAACAATATTGTCGTTACCAGGCCTCTGTAACAAATATAGTTAATTGGATGCCAATTATATTTTGAACCGAAAATCGAAAATGCCGACGACTGTGAGTTTCGAAAGTGCCGAATAGCCGGAGGAATATAATAAAAAGTGTTAACGTACCTGCTGACCTTACCTTCTCCATGATAGCTGCCTGAGTGATCCGTGGGTTCAGTGGAGAATCTATTATTTACAACAATTTGGCTGACAGCAAGTGTGCTGTAATGTCAAAACAATTGGCCTAATGTATGTGTAAAAAGCTAACAGTTTACTATTGGCCATTTTTCAACTCAAAAGCCATTTCTTTTCCACTGACACATCCTCAAGTGTTTTGTGACGCAAGGTGATGAGTTGATTTCTTTGCAATTTTGGCTGGCATGACAAGATAAGATGTCGTGAATTATAATGGCCTAAATATTCCGATGTGCGGTACAATTGGCCTAATTTTTTTGTGACCTAAACTGTGGTGTGTGCATATCTCCTATTCCCACTAAATGAAGCCTCGACTGGCGGCTTCAACTGAAGCTAAACCACTAAACAAGATGGAAGTAGCAAATGGGCATACTCCCCCTGTTGAATGGCTTAAAATCTCCAGTTATTTACTATAAAGAAAAAAAAATGTCTGGTTGAACCTTTAGGCCAAAATCGTTTTGCCGTAATGAATTTTAAGGTATATTTTGGATGAAAAAGTCTCTCTAGATGCCAGTCCTTTGTGTGGCTGCTACCTAGTGAAACTTCAAATGAAAAATAAGTCTTTGTGTAACGCGCAACTAAGCGGGAGTTTTCAATACCGAAGATGCTGGTGCTGACCGCAGGAGAGCCGTTGTAGTTCCGTGCTCCAGTCAAGGTAAAAGAGTGAAGAGCTGTAGTCTTGAAGTTGATGCCAGAGTCAGAGCCGAGGCGAAGGTGAAACGTATTCGAACCTAAACCGAAAACCTATGCCGAACCTAAGCCGAAAGTACCTGAAAAGGAACCCAAAGGAGAGACCTAAGGGGAGGACCCAGCCAACCCAAGGGGACCCAACTAACTAACCTAACTACATTAAATTAAGCCGAATATGAAGTCCATGGACTTCGAGCCGAAATTTGAGTTAAGGTTCATCCAGAGCTTTAACTAATAACCCTCCATTCCAACCCAAAAGGAATGAGCTAACCAGTTTGTGTTTGTCTTCCATCTGTATCTTCTTTCCCAGTTGAACATCTGTGAGTAGATCCTAAGATGTAGTGTAAATTGAAGAGGAGTGAAGAGAAACCTTAGGTCTCATCTTCCAACAATCCAATTCCCCACATCTTAAGATGTCCTCAACAGGGTCAAGCTGGTACACTCTTGCTTTAGTGGTGTGGTAGCTGGACCAGGTGGTGTACTAACTTGGGTGCATTCCACAGGGAGAAGGTATTTCTGGAACAAAAAAAGATATATGAATGAGTGATTTATTTATTGTTGATAAAGTTCATGTACAAGTGAATACGTGAATTAATGCAAGTATGAATGAAGGATGAAAGAATGGAAAGAATAAAGGAATGGAAGGATGAATGAATAAATGAATGATAGACAGAGGGACCGATTGCATACATTTATGAACGAATGATAGACAGGCAACTCGAAAACAGAATCTTTGTCACAGAAGGTTATCTGTTGAAACATCCTAGAAACTAAAATGAAGCCATGCGTAGAGTGTAGATAAGACCAGAGCAAACCTCAAAGAGGAACAGTAAATATCTTAGCAAGCGCAGGAACATTTGCTTACTCCGCTAGACAACGCGAGTTTTTAGTGAAGTTGTGAAACGCAGTTTTAACCTACGTAAGTTGATTAATGAGGAACTGACTCGTTTGAATGCTCCCATTTCCAAAAAAATTAAACGGAAAAAAAGGAGGAAAACTGTAGAGGAAAGCGCAATTAAAGAAAAAGAGTTGCTTCCAGTTTGAATACCTTTGCAATCTGATGACTGATTTAAAAAAAGAATTTTATTTTTTCGCAAATGTTCTTCCGGAAGGTTAACGTATAACCCCATGCTATCCTGAAACAAAGCCATAGTCCCCAAAGAGGAATCTATCGTTTTCGCTAATGTTTTCTTTATTCAAGAACTGTATGTGTAGTGAAGTATGGGGCATGTGGAAATCCTGCCGTAATTTTGTTTTTGTTGTGGAAGGGGTAAACTGTTGGAGTTCTTTAAAATGATGTTGATTTACTTTAAAGGTGGCAAAAATCTACCAAATTCGCGGTTTAAGGAGACAATGAGGCGCCCATAAAAGAGCTGTAACAAGTAACACCATTGAAAACAAAGATGAGAGGGACCATTGCATAACTTTCACCATATCATGAACTGAAAAAGAACGCTAAAAGGACTATTTTGCCGTAGTATTATCTACTTTTACTCAGCGAAATTTGTTATCAATGAAATAATTCAATTTACAAGCAAAAAAATGGAAGACGTTCTTGAAACACGAGGCACGTGTTTTTCGCGCGTAAAGCCACTCACCACTGGTGACACCGGTGGTGTTCCGGAAACTTGTTCACTTTTGAGAAAATTCTCTTGTAAATTACTCTCAAGACTTAAACATTGAGTTTGAATTGACTAAAATTCCACTGTGGTATTTTAAAAATGTAACAATGAAGTAGTACTAACCTCTTTGTTTCCACTGCAGCGAGTGTCTCTTCCGCGGCTGCAACATTTGCATTTGACGAACGCAAGAAAACCAAGAAGTTAAGAATTCTATTGGTAAGTTCTGTAACGAAAAATAAAATTGTAGTTTATCATTAAATATGTTTAACAGAATGTTTTAGCCAAACTTAGCGTAAAAAGTGAATTTCCCGGAGTAAACAGAGCTACAGGTTTCTCCGTACAACACGCACATGTGCAAAGTTTTATTTTTCATTGTTATTCAAGTAAAACCTTATTTAAAACAAAAATTTTTAACTCACCAGTCTTCCTCATTCCTCTTAATTCAGGAAATGTTTATTGGGTTTCACCACCCTTTAAATTTGAAGAAGAATTTCAAGCTTCTTTTTTTCGGAAGATTAAAACGTCTGCCATATTTTCACGTGTTGTTGTCAAAATGTAAAGATTTGAAGAGCGCGCCTTGTTTTCTTTCGAGCCCACGTGGTCTAATACTCGTCGCCAATTGGCTTTTTTCGTGTCAGCCGTCTTACGTCATTGTCACTTTTGATTGACACATCCGTGTGTCAGTCCTTTTCAGACTCCTTTTACTTCCGGTCAAGAGAACAAGGAGATCTTTCTCCAAACAGCGAGATTAATTGCTGGGTCAAGTTATCATTATAAAAATCTAGACCTGCCTTATGGTCCCACCTGGTGTTATTGTGTTGTATTTTATTGAATTATTTTACATCGCATTGCATTACACTCCATTGAATTGTACTGAATTGTTTTAATTTATTTTTGTTTTTGTTTTCTTCTTTAATTGAGTCTACGCTGATGTCCTCAAAGTTACCTGTAGTACTGATCATAGCAAGGAACGAAATTTGATACATATAAAGAAAGTTGCAAAAAATTCACCAACAGTAACTAAAGAGTAAATTCCCCATAGAACTCTATCCTCTTTTCCTTCTAGTTTTCTCATTGAAAAACTCCACTCCTGTGAAGTTAAAGGGCGAATGACATCAAAAAAAGAAAAAAAAGGAAAGTGTCTCCCAAACCACTACTTTGGAAAACGCCTTTTTGGAAGTCATACCAGAGACGGCGATTGACGTTTTTAACAAATGGCAAAAAACTCTATTTCCTTGCTTGGATTAATTGGCGTGCTGATCAGTCTAAATAACAAATAGATTCTAAGTTGCCGTGCGTCTGTTCAGTAATAGATCACAGATGACGTCAAAATGTGGTAAGAACAAAAAAGTGGCACACGAGGCGCGAGGAATGTTCTTACCACATTTTGACGTCCTCTGTGATCTATTACTGAACAGACGCACGGCAACTTGGAATCTATTTGTTTTATATAATAAAGAATTAAAAAAAGTTTTAATGATGAAGTCATCTATACGTCTGTCCTCCAGTAGATCATAAGTGAGAACCAATCAGAATGCGTGCATAACTGAGCTTATTATATAAAGTGGCACGCACAAAACGCATCAGAACCTCTGTCAATCGGGTCCCTTTGAGTCCCAATTTCTGAGCCGTCAGTATCTCCAGACTGACAACACCTTTTTTTTATAGGCCTCAAGGATGTTCGAGGGAATGATGACGTCACTTTCACTCAATAGGGATCGAGGAAACAAAATAGGCACCTCTACTACTGCTACGACGGCTCGAGTCTTGAGGAGCGAGTCTACCTAACATTTGCTAGAGCCAATTTCTTAAAGTTCCTGAAGAATCTCTTGATACTTCAATCGAAGTATGCCTCTGTAAACTTTAACAAGAAATTACCACAATAAACAAATAAAAGACAAGCATTCTTTCAATCATTTTGTTTGTTATGAATTACGTGAAAAGGAAGCTCTGAGCTAGAGCCCAGACCAGCACCGGATGCAACAAAAAGAATATATTTTGTCGTAATGAAACGAGTTTTAAGATGTGAGGTCAAACTGGTCAAGGTTAGGCGAACTTGTTTCACTTCAGTGGGCGAACTCGCAAAGGTGGTGAGGGGCGAACTCGAAATGAGGCGAAACCCCCAGATAGCAGAGGTTAGATTATTGTCGCTTACATTACAACGATGCCCGCGTGCCGATTGTCAGCGGATATTTAATTTTCGTATTGTGAAGATGACGGTGCAGTTTGTGCACTGAGATCGTCTTTAATTCAGGCTTCATCCCGTCAGACTGAATAGATCTAGTGACTAACCACAATGGTAGGAAAACTGAATTCTTTCTTTATCTCATGATTAAGTTGCCTGTGTCGTCAGCTCGTTCTTACTACTGATTATTCGGATCTTTTGGAGTCATCAGTGCAATTTGCGTGACGATTGACGATCGATCAGGAGCGAAGAGTACAGATCTAGAGTCTGTCCGTTTTATTTGTAGCTCTTGCTGTCACAATTGCAGACTTATTTTCTTCATCTAACTTACGATTTATGACGTTAAATGTGTAGATTGATTCGTTCTACATCTGCATTTTTTGAACCTTGCAAGGAGGTCACGCAATGCGCATAATTTTGCTATCCTAGCTGCGCGGCTTCCGCAAGCGCAAATTGTTGGTACGTTTAGTATCTCCTTAATTGCGGTACGTCATAAACTACTTTTGCAAAATTTTCCTCCTGAACGTGCCCATTTTTTCCAGTGGTTATACACATTTTTCGCTTTCCTTGTTAACTTGTGAAAAGATAAGAATTTGCATACAAGCGTTAAAAATTTGATGCATGGTTGGCTCAAGCAAAATCTTCTGGTACTTTTAATGCACGGTGATGTCTTTTACTCACCCGAAGCCTTGTTTGCGCTTAAATTTTCATGCAGCGTTAAAAGTGTTTTCACGTGGGTATTCATTTGGTTGGTGAAATGTTCTGTTTTAAGTAAGATAAGCAGTCCGCATATTGGGGTGAAAGGCCTCTTCCTCACACCAGTTCGTTTGTATGTAACGCAACGCTTCTCTTCCCTAACACCCCGTTTAAAAATGATTGGCGGCAAAGGAGAACACGAGCACGATAGTGGGGTGGGTGACGGGGGAGGGGAGGGGAGGGAGGGCTAATCGTGCAGAGGCTTTTCATCTCAATTTTTGCCAGATAGTGTAATCGTAGATTGTAAAACATCATTTGCGTCTAAGCAGTCTCGTGAATTGTGTTGTAACAGAAAAAGCTGGTCATAAAGTTTAAACAGCGAGCGAAGCAGTAATCAAATTTATTTTTATAAAACTGATGAGTTTACAAACTTAAAGAGAAAAACTTTTATGTTATGTGCACATCGAATACCGCAATTTTACCTCACCGATAATTTGGCAAATTAAAATAAAATAAAATGGATCATACAGCTTGAAAAACTGTGTTAGGAGAGGGAGAGTCGATGTAGAAGAGGAAGAGCACTTATTTAAATCTGTGTACAAAAAAATCAAATAATTTTCGGAATCTCTTGAAATTTCTTAACAAACATCTGGTACTCTTTAGGGGAAATTCTATGAAAACCTCTTACTGCCACGCATTTGGTCCATTTAAGAGGGGGCGCTTATTTGATGAGAGGTGCTAATTCGAAGAATCAAGGCAATTCCCTCCAAAATAAAAATGAGTTGGCGTTTTTCACTACTTCGTGCGTTTATATCAGAAGGAGTCCACGATTTCAATTGTTTGGGAACGTAAGCACTTGCAATATTTATTATTCTATATATTAACGCCAGAGGTGAAAGAGCGAACGAAAGAACGATTGACTGTAATGCCAAAGAACCCGGCCAGAGACCAACTACATCTTTCCTTCAATGGATGCTGACGGGCAAATGTGTTTAAATTCAGTCCTTTCTACTGTCTTTTGACAGGCGGCTGTTCAAGGAGTGAAGCTTTACAATGGAGCTCTGATGCCTTTTATTGCCTTGGGGTAAGGCCAGTAGTTCATTACTTTACTATATTTTGAAAAACATTTTCTACTATGAGACACAAGATGAATTCCAGTGGTGGGCAGTGTTCATTGAACTAAAAGGAGGACGACCCAGGGTTCAACAAGGATGATTGGAACGGGTTCTCAAGTAGAGGTTTCGAAAACACTAGTAATTAGAGACGTTTTTAAGAAGCTTAGTTTTTACGACTATTGAAGTCTTCTCCCTAACGATATTTAGCTATCCACCAGCTTGTATAAGTGATAGTTATGTAAGTCACTGTGCTCTCAAAAATGAGGGCAGAACAGAACTCCAACCAAACCTCCGGCTTTATAGCCTACTTCGTCACAAGATAACATGCAATGATTGTTCTTCCCATTGTGGCATCGCTTCTAGAACCTAACTCTACATCGAAGTGGAAGGAAGTTGTCTAACAGTATCGGTTTTGAATCGATATTTATGATTAACTTCAAGGACCTGGAAGTCCAAAAAAGGGACGGTCGGGAACGCTGTCAGGCTAGCCTTACGGCATGGATACAGACACATTGACTGCGCTTGGGCCTATGATAACGAAGATGAAATAGGTGAAGTCTTAACTGAAGTCTTCAAAGAAGGAAAGTTGAAAAGAGGGGACGTGTTTATCACATCAAAACTCTGGTAAGTATTCTCAGGCTTTGAGCCATGCGTCCTCGTGATCACATATTGATATCCTGGGTTCATGAGAAGAGATTCAAATATTTTGTAGGTTAAGGGGAGCGCGGTTAACTTTTTCCTCGTTGCGTCGCTCTCAGATGTTCCTTCCTTCTCAGAGCGCACTTCCCTCATAAATAATTAGTAAAAGGTAAACAAAATTCCTCTCATCGTTGGACATGTCCTGTTTCCCTCTATCCTATTTCAATGAGTTTTTACCAGAAAACTGCTTCATTTTGCGATGAAATTTAAAAACAGTTGCTAACAAAAACTAGTGAGACTATGAGATTTTTCTGTGGGAAGTTCGACATCAAGCCTCGACTTCGTGTACTAGGCTGAGTTCTCAAGGCTCGCGACTGAAACATCGAACGTACTAGTGCGGCTACTGTCTCACAAAGCCTCTGTAACTGATGTGCAAACAGGATAAGAAAAGAATTCAAGTCACGCGGACAGTAGAATGCGAAAATAAAGAAATAATAAGCCGACAAAAACGTGAGGTGCACCTTTAAAGAATTATTGCCCTCATCTCTTTCTCAGGTGCAAACACCATGCGCCTGAAGATGTTCTTCCCGCTTGCCAGGAAACGCTGACAAATTTACAGCTGGACTACCTCGATCTGTACCTGGTAAAATTATATGAGTTGTAGTCTGACTACACCTGGTTTGACCATAAAACATGAATTATATGAATTATATGAATTACAAAGAAAAGTGAGAGTATTACTTCATTCCCTTGTTTCTAATTAGGTACATATCCCTTGCGCTTTCAAGAAAGACGCAAAAGTCCCCACGCGGTGCATTGCAGATGGTGTGATTGGCTATTCGCCTGAAGGCATAGCAAGTACTTGGAAGGTATGCTAAGATACGAGAATCAATCAATCAAATTAAAATATGTCCACCCAATCTTGTCGAGAAGTATCAAGTTTTCAAGGTTACGCTCCACTAAAATTTTTCATGGAGTGAACTTATTTTTCTCCTTTTTCCTCTCTATTCCCAAAATATGCTCTCTTGTCGCGTACAAGAAGTTAAAGAATTCAAGGCCGGAACTTACCTTTCAGGGCACCTTCATTTAAAGCCACAAACGTATATCAGACAGAAACAAAATTTTGGATTAAACTTTGTATTTGCTCTGAGGGACAAGCTGTCCGGTATCAGTCGAGAATGAAAGCGTCCACCTTTGTGGTATAACTGAAAGGATTAGCTTTAGACTGGAAAACTAACGGTTCAATCTTGTGCGATCATAAAACAAAACCGTTTGTAAGGCTTGTTCATTGAAAAGAGGAACCTGAGGAGTCGAGTGGTTCAACGGCACTATGGCCGGTTGTGATTGGTGTGTTGCTGGCGTCATTTCTTAGGCGATTGTTTTCTCCCTCGATCTAGTATCATAATGAAATATTTCTATTTGGTTTTTTTCCATCATAAGTATCGAAACGCTTTATTAATCACAGTGATTCAATGATATAAGTTTTTTCTCCTTTCCTGCAACCATTTCAATTCGTTAACTACACATTCACATCATGCGTATCTATTTTATTACTGCAGGCAATGGAGGAACTTGTCGATAAAGGCCTCTGCAAAGCCATTGGAATTTCAAACTTCACCATGAAGAAGACTCAGACTCTTCTAGAAACTGCAAGAATACCGCCAGCTTGTAATCAAGGTATCAAGCCAAGAATCATGCTCAGATAGTCCTCAAAACCGTCTATGAAAGTGGCATCGCCTGGATTTTGTTGTAATATGGTTCATCTGTAACAGCGATGGGTAGTATTCTAGGCAATCTCCTCCCTATGTTTCCCTCGGTCAGAGAGACACTTAGGGAGGGGAGAGAGCGACTAGTCTTTTAAGATGGTGGCCGGCCAGGACGTTTTAGTATTATTGATAAATTACCAATTTTATTGACTAACAGGAGATCTAGTGCACTATATGACTCCTTCTCTCTGAGTAACAAATATGCATGGAGATTAGCTGCCTGGTTATAACCGGCGTTGAGTTGATTTTTCTGTTTTAATTTTGCAGTGGAACTTCATCCATATTTACATCAGGATGAACTAATATCTTTCTCCACGAGTAAAGGTGAAAAAAAAAAAACTCTTTAAATCCTAATATACCATTAAGTTATTTTCGATCTTGTTGTGGTTAATGTAGTTGTTGTTTTATTCACCCTCCAGCTGCTGAGTAAGAGTTCTATTTTTTTTTTGTATTTTTCTGAATGATATGTGAACGTCATGTATTGTTTTGTGCACTGATCCTTTAGGAATCGCTGTGACGGCGTATTCTCCGCTGGGTTCCCCAGACAGACCAGTTGTCAACCCAACAGAGCCAGTAGTGCTAGAGAATCCAGTGCTGACAAAAATTGCAGAAAAACACAACACTACTGCTGCCTTGGTAAGAAACGGGAGCATTTAAATCTGATTTATGTTCGAGTCAGTTTTATAGATTTTTGAACTTAGCTAAAAAAATAGTTATAGTTAGTCTTTGTTATAATTGTTTCTACCATTTATTATTTAAACTAAAAACGCTTATTAAAGGTTTAAATAACGTCTTTCAGAGCGACTACCTATCGCCACACATTTTTTAAAAACTCAAGTTTAAAATGTGTTGAACACCTCAGTTCTTTTAAGGGTGGACACGGGATATGGTGTAGCTTGTGTTGCTGAGTTGCTTGGGATAGCCTACGTGAAGCCGTACCCCCCCCCCTTCCAGGTGAAACGGAAGGTAGGGAACGTCTACGAAAACCTGATTCAAATCGTGTTCTGTAACTCCACTCTTTTGTAAGAAAATTTACAGTGACGTTTTATTGGTTAACCCCTTTTGTTGATTCTTTCGTGAATTCTGATTGGCTAGAGTTTTTTAGTTTTCTTTCACATTAACGAACAAGATGGTGAATAGAATGCTCTCATGATCAAACGTCTAGTGTCAGGTTTTCGTAGACGTTCCCTCGCTTCCGTTTCACCTTAAGGGGAGGAAGGAGGGTACGGCTACACGTATAGTATAGTGACCAGGCCTGATGTTTTTTTCTTTTTAAGTCAAATCTTAATCAGCATATAGCCATCTTACGACGTAGTTTAGCAAGGGGGCGTTCCATCACAATTACGCCGTCGGCGCCTCGAAAAGAGCGGTGGAGATACGCGCAAGTGTGTCGATCTCATGCATACCTCTCGCCTTTTTGTAGCGTGTTTTTCAGCTCCGCTGCCGTAAAAGGCTTCCTCAAAACCGTCAGCTATTGTATACAGGCTATAGCCATCTTGACTTTTCTCCTGGTCAATGACGCATGCTTCTTAGCCCGTTTCTTCAACGTTAATTTTTCTTTTTGAACATGTTCCCTGGTGATCCTTACCAACTTAGAGGCTTTGCGGGTCTTTCTCCTTTACACAACAAGAGCTTACATAAGAGAAAGAGCCTAGTGAAGTTTCTGGTAGCTGAGGCTCAAGTCCTTGTCTTTTTCTTGTCTAAATGCAGGTCGCTCTTGCCTGGGGTATCAAGCGTGGTACTCCAGTCCTCCCAAAGGCCGTTTCTGAAAATCATATCAAAGAGAACCTTGATGCACTTCATGTAAACTTAGATAAGGATGACATGAAAGCGATTCAAAACATTGGCATACGTCATCGATACTTCAAAATGTGCTGGATGTACAAACCAGAGGAAATTCCAGTAGGAGGAGTGTGGGATGGCGAGGAATGAAGCAATAAAAGGAAGGGGAAAAATGGTACAAACGAAGAAAAGGAATAGATTTAAAATTTACCAAGAAGTGACCTGTCTTTGTGGGTAAATAAAATTGGTTCAAAAAACTTGCATTGGTGTCATATTCGTGGCTGTTTTAGCAATTTTTAGTCTATTTATTGCGGTGGTGATTCAAGTCTTAAAACCAGAATTAAAGACGTCTCTATCAGAACAAAGCAAATCAAATTGAGAATCATATATGTGCACGACCTTAAATGTGGAGAAAAGCATGCGGACAAGTTCCGATTGGCAATCACTACATCAGAAGGAATGACCCTTTTTTATTTAAGATCTGTTGTGGCTGCCATGCGAATTTTTGTGAAGATTTTTTTCCATTTCGCTATTCAGAGAAAGCTGATGCTGGCATCCTTTTTGTTAATTTTTATCGGACGGTCACGTATCTGAGTAAATCATCGATTTTCCTCTCCTAACCCGCCAACAAAATAGGACTTAAATTATATTCAATATGGAGAGTTACTAGCGCCTAAAGAAACTTTGAGGTCATGAGAATTACGAGAAATATCATGAGAGGAAAATAATAATTGTTGTAGGAAGACAAATAAAAATTAAAAGGGCAACTAAAATAGAGGAACCCATGGTAATCTTGCTAATTAACTAAATACAACCACATCACCAAAAAGCTTCAATTTTCGAACATACTTACGCTTTGTTCGATAATCAAAGCTAAGTCAATGCAGCACATATGCGATTTCAAGATGTAACCTATGTCTGTTCTTGTCTATGATTATAAAACAGGAGTAAATAGAACTTTATTCAGCGGCTTATTATATAAAGCATACAGCATACCGAGAACTGTTCCCTTTTGGGAGATAAAACCCATGTTGGTAATACAGAAAATTAATTTAACGTATTTTAAAACATTTTTCGGTGAGCCACCAACTGCAAAAACATTGTGTACTTATGAAAAGCCGGGGAGTTAATTTTTTTTTCTTAAATAAGAGCGCTATGAAACTCAATTTACGAGAGAAAACACTTTAAATATCAATTAGCTAAAATCAAATACATTAGTATTCCTCCATTGACTGAAACCATTACGCTGGTACAATTTCATTTTTTGTTACCATGGAAACAATCGATGGGACTATCAGTAGTTGCGTTCTGAAAAATTTCGTTAAATGTATTGCTTCAAAGACGTTTTCGCCATCATTTTTACTTAAACTCCGACTCCGACCCACTTATTTAACGCCAGTGCTCTGAAATAGAGAAGCTTCAGTTCCATGATCGAATTTATCTTTGTCTGCATACGATGATGGTAAAAAAGATTGCCGTTACATCGAGAGGGGAGTATTTCCTATGAAAATGTGAAACTCAAATAGCTTAGCTTTTAATGAAGACAAAAAAGAACCAAATAATCTAGGCTTTAAACGTTCATGCATTAGTTTTTTTTTTATTACCGGAGGTAGCAAAGACATTTTCTAGTGAAACTTAAAACTGTTCATTAGCGAAGCAAAGAGGCCTGTTTGTATTTTTTACTTTTACTCGCAAAGATGTATACACAACCCCTTTAAATAGGAAACTATAAGTGCGACTTGGCTTTAAAGACTGGGGATTTACATTATTTTTTTAATAAAGCATGGTGTTTTTAAAAATCAAATCAAACAGTGTCAAGTGTTTGTGGAATCCGTCAGTTGGCGAGTTTTTTCGAGTTCCACGTTTGTGTTCTTTTCATTAAACCCATCCTCTGTTTTTCTTGGTTGTACTTCAGTAGTTTCTTGAAAAGTTCTCGCCGAAAAATATTCACTGGGCTCAACACTTCCCTTCTTCCAAATGTTCAAGTTGAAACGGGATCCACCGTGCGGTAACTTTAAGCAACAAAACCCTCGAACTAGAAGCCTTCGAAATGCGTTGCGAAAAGTCGGCGTAAAAAGCATATAAATAAGAGGGTTGAATGTGCTATTTGCGTAGTGTAACCATTTGCTAATAGCTACCCAGCCGTGGTCATTCGGGCAGTTTTGCCGACAGACCGCGTACAAAAGAACAATTGAAAAGAACGGACCCCAACACAAAACAAACGCCCCAATCACTATCCCCAGCATCTTGGTGATTCTAAGCTCATTTCGAAAAGTCATACTGTGTTCTCTTTGAATTCCGTGTTGAATTCCCGAATTGGCAGCGCAAATTTGTCGAACTTGTCGTACGGCCACGCAGCCAATTTTACTATACATCACAATAAGGATGAAGAAAGGAATAAAAAATGCCGCAATAGAGATAAAACACGCGTAGACCTGTCCCGCCGTTGGGTTGAAATTTTGCTCCACCGTTACAATCGATAAACTGGCACAAACAAAGGCGAAGAGCCATGCTAACGCTATGGCGGTGCGGGCTCGCTTTGGAGTCATTCTGCTGTGGTAAGTAAGCGGCGAGTTGATCGCTAAATGCCTATCAACGCTGATCACACAAAGACTCACTATGGATGCTGTACTGCATAGAATGTCCACGTATTGCCACGAATAGTAAAGCACCTTCGCAAGTAGTTTTTGTTGGGGAATCTTTGAAAGATGCGATAGTTGGATATACATCCAGCTTGGCATAGAAAGTGACGCCACGAGAATGTCCGCTACCGCAAGCGAAACAACGAAGTAGTTGGTAACTGTGCGAAGTTGGTGAAATCTGTGAAACGCCGCTATCACCAAACCATTGCCGAACAAAGCCAGGAAAATGACCACACACATCATTGCCGCTGTAAAATTGAATTCCTGTGGGTCTACCGGAGGGCTTGTTGTGGGAGAACTTACAGTGTTCCCTTGCAGCGAAGGAGAAGAATCCATTGCGAGGATCTAAAAAATTTTGACCAAAACTAAAGAGTTATTGGTGCACTGAAGCGGCTTGTCAGAATGGCTGATAACACTGGCTTGAAAGCGCTTGTGATTATGAAATTCATTCTTACCTAAGGCAAATTCTTAATTAGGTTCTATTTAGACAGGTGCCGGATCATAGTTAAAGAATTACTTTCTCTTCTTGGGTATTTCTCGCAAGCTAATAATCTGAAGTATGTCAGAGGACGTATATCAGGAAATGTCGAAAAAAGATTTTGGTAATATTGCGACCACATAAAATCAATAACCCAAAACAAACTTTTAAAAAGTTCGTCTTTGGAACGGATATAACTGATCTTGCAATCCAAATAATCTCGAACATCCGAAAGTAAACAACTCTGCCATAGAGATTTCTTCATTTTGTCGTGACTGCACCAAAGTAAATTGGTTTAATTCGCGGCGCAGCGCGAAGCGGAAGGCGAAGCTTGCTTTACAACCGCTCTTTTACTGCCCATCTTTGAAAATAAACCTTGATGAAGTTTTCATGGTGTTTGTCTTTGTGCAACAGGCGATTCATAAGTAAAAAGACAAATACAGCTGAAAATCTTCTATTTGCTGCACGCCCGACGAATGACATGAAATACTCTTCCATTACCCAAAATAAAATCGCAGCTTGACAACCCGCAAATGTACAACGTTTACACAAGACTTCTAGTGTCATATGATTACTAGTCGTCGAGTAAATAGGAGCTTTTCTTTCGCCTTCCTGAGTAATAATTGATAAAAAAACCCGCCACGATTTTACAGTTGACGCAAAATTAGATATCAACGGATGCGAGAGTTGAAGTAATAACCACGCAAGGGGAATAATTGTACGTTTTTAACGCGATTTAAGAACTACATGCTTCCTTTTCCTTCCAGTAATTCGTTTATTTTGCTTCCTCAAATATAAATATTATGAAAAAAAGTAATTTTCTAAGTATCTTTCAGACGTGATTGATTTCTTCTATTTTGTGCAACAAGACAAACATTTTCTATCATTGCTACAGACGAATTCGTGCATCGTTAAAAATCCAAACCGTTTTCTGACTTATCGAGGTTCAAGTATAAAACTAGTATAAAAATTACAACAAAATTGAACGATTCATTTGCGATAAGTTCGTTTTAATTTACAGAGGCAAACAGTAAGCTTTGGGCTTCCTATAATCAATTGTCTCTACATAATTAAAAATATTCATCCGTTCGAACCATCGTGAATTCCAGTTTCACCATCATTTGCAGCCAAAGTTACTTCTGTGTCATCGGTTTTAATTTCGCACTCAGTCGGAAATTCGTCGAAAGTATTGGATGTTTCGGGGGATATGCCCGTAGTCGTCTCGGAAGCAATCGGAGAATCGTCGGATTCAATCGTACTTTCAGCATCCGGTTCGTCGTCACTGTTCGTGTTGTGAACAAAATCATCAGAGTTTCGTTCTTCAGTTGTGTTGTCTCTTTTCTCGATTTCTTGCTCCTCAGGTGCCTCAGTCGTTTCTTTACTCGATATTACCTCTTCTCCAGAAGTTGTTTCCTCGCAGTTTTCCTGTTTTGTACTTGTAACGTCGGAACTTTCGACATCTGGGTGAGGAATGGGGGAACTGGTTTCCTTGGCCTAAAAAAAAAAAAAACATATCCTTTGTAAATAAAGATTTCAAGAGAGTACCAAGCAAGAAACCAATTCATTGACATAGCTGAGGAAATGGCCCTTCCGAGAACGAGCGAAAAAAGATTATTACACGCAAGTATTACGTGAGTAAGGCTGTAATTCACTTTTAGTCTTACACTTTTAGCACCACCATTTTCCCTCGCTTTTGCTCTCGCGGCTAAATGAGGGAAACGACGAAACTCAAAGAGAAGGAGAAACGAATAATATCATTATGTCTAACTCAGTAATTGATTACCTTGCTGAAGTCGCCAGCTGTGACTTTGGCTCCCTTATGCAGCGCACGGCAAAGGTTTTCAAGCTTGTCGTTTTTCAATCGCAAAGCAGCCATTTCTTTTTTCTGTTTTTCACGCTGAATAAGGTGGTCAAAAAAATACGTTAAATAAACTCACTTTCCTTTTACTTCATTGAATACCCCAAAACGGTCATGATCTAAAGTCAAATCTACCAAAATAACGCCTATGTACAACAAGAAGCCCAAAAGGGTTTCGGTTTCACTGCAAATCAACTCAGAATACCGTCAATTTCTAAACTAAAAAATGCATCGAAATAAGAGGTTTTATCCTTAAGTGTAATAAGATTTACCTCATCTACCATTTGCACCAATGAACGGTTGCTGTTTTCGCATTTCGTTTTCCACGTTACTTTTTCTTTTTCCAGTTTTTTGATCGTCTTTGTCATCTACAAGAAGGTGATAAAAGAATTCACGCAATCAATATGCTGAACAAAAGAGAGGCTGGAAACAAAGTTAGTGGGGGGGGGGGGGAAATAACCTTTCATAGAGGTGTCCCTTCAAAGAAAATGACAGGTACTAAAGGTTATACAGTAGATAGTCTATTCAAGGGACACCCTAAAGACTAGAAAATGTGTCCTTTGAAATAAAGGTGTCCCTCCATGAAGGCAACAGGTACAAAGTGTATCCTTAAATAAAGAGCTCCTCCTTGAAGGCTACAGGCACAAAGGTTATACAGTGCATAATCTATTCAAGGGACACCAGTTGGCTTAAAAAGATGTGTCCCTTAAATAAAGGAGTCATTCCATGAAAGCCACAGGTATAAAGGTTATACTTTAGATGATCCATTCAAGGGACACCCTTAGGGCTAGGAAATGTGTCCCTAAAATAAAGGAGTCCCTCCAAGAATGCCACAGGTACAAAGGTTATGCAATAGATGATCTATTCAAGGGACACCCTTAGGACAAGGATATGTGTCCCTTAAATAAAGGAGTACCTCCATGAAGGCCACAGGTACAAAGGTTATACAAGTTTGCCCCACCAGGTGGTTTTATCCTGATGTGGCTCCACTCTACTGTGACATTCCACTGTGTTGCAATAGAGCGTCCCTGTATAGAGGTATCCAGAGATTTTTCCCCCATCACCACATTGCAAGTTTGCATCCCCTCCCCACCCACTAATTGGCCTCACCAGGAGGTGTAATGTACTTTTTGTAGAGGTAGCCCCACACTACAGGGGCCTTAAAATGTCTTGTGATATTTGTGTGAATAAAACTTCTTTTTACAAACCTTATCCATTTCTTTCTTGAATGTTGAAAATACTTCATTGCTCTTATTGAGTGTTTTCTGAAATTCCTCAAATCTCTCTGCATACATTGCCAGCTAGTAATGAGAGAGAGTAAGAACTTTATATCAGTAAGTAATGAAGTGATCAAAATGGAGGTGATTTCAAACACTAATAATAAGCAATTTATTTGGTTCATGAACTACATGATTCACAGGTTAGTTGCTGATATTCCAACACCCTAGGAAAAATTTCCATCTTGAACCCTGAGCTTGAAAAGCTGTGATCTGAAAGTGATCTGTAGCAGCTAGCTTATTTCTGTAATTATCCTCAGATAAGTTGCTTGAAAATTGTAAGTTAATAACTGGATGTTGTCAGGTTGTGCTGACAATTTGCTGGTATTATTTCTTTTCCTGGATGGAGGGAGGTACTGTGCCAGTGTCAAAAAAGTAGTGTACAATATTAAGACCCAGCAAGAGGTTCCTTTTGTATTTCTCAAACAGGAGTCCAGTGCTCTAATGATAAGGCCACTGAAACAATCACAAACCCTAACAAAGCAATATTACAGAACTTTATCATTTCCTCATGTTACCTGTGATTTCATCTCTGCTTCCTGTTTTGTCAAGATGTCACACTGCTTCTTATACTCTACCACTTGCTTATTCAACTGGATAACCACAAAAAAAAAAACAAGAAGAAAGAAAGAGTGCAATGTCAGGCAAAGAGAACACAAAAAACAAAACATAACAAAAAAAGAAATGTACAAGGGAGAGGAAATTTCCTTCACAATTTCCCACAATTTTTATCAACCACTAATCCATACAATTTTAGTGTCTCTCTTTGTTGAACATGTGAGTAATGGAATAACACAATTTACTTCAAAAAGTAAAAACCACCAAACAAAATCTTCCTTCAAATAATTTACTTTGTGTTGCTAATACATGTATGCCGTGGAAGCTTGCTGCTAAAAAAATCTGCTAGTTTCCTTACAACTTCTCCTTGGTACATATACTGAAAAGAAGGGAATTTTGACTGATTTAACAATAAATTCTCACAGCTAAATAAACCGTGATAAAATGTATAGCAGGAGGTAGGAGAAAAAGGTAGTGAGATCTTTGGAGTTGAAGGGCAAAATAAACCTCTGAAAAAAACCCCTACTCACTATGTTTTTGGACCTTAATCCAAAGAAGGTAAAAGAAAGCAAATCCCTTTTCTTCTTGTGCTTTACATTTAAGTTACAGATGAAGTAATCTTACCAACTGGTTCTCTGTCAAGGTCTTCTCCTTATCCTCATTAAACTTCAGATTTTGTTGGGCCATTTTTGCTTCTGCTAACTGCAGCTCAAGCTGCTTGTGTTTGAATACCTTTTCCACATGCTAGAAAATGAAAGTATGCAAGGTTTTGAAGATTTTCAAAAGATCTTAGGAATTCCTGAACCATAAACAAATCACAGTTGTAGAAACTGGTTATTATCCATACATGGATATCATGTACAGGAATCTTTGGTTGAAGAAAGATGTTTTTTATTAATCGTCTGACTTAATAATATATTAAAAAAAAAGCTCGTGACTGACCTAAATCTTTCTTGTGAGAGATTTAAACTATTAATCACCCAACTGCATAATGGTCAGAATTTGCTAAATCGTTCAAAAAAAAAAAAATTAATTTGATACTTCCAAAATTTTTCCAGATTATTATTATTCAAATTTCACCTAAAATACCTCTTCTATTTTATTATTATTATTATTATTTTACTTAATAACAGCAACTGTATTCAAATGTTGGTCATAGTAAGGTATGTTACCTCTTCACGGACTTCATATTGTTCAACCAAGCCTTTCAGTCGAGTAGCAAGTCTGTTTAAAATGAAAACAGACAACTTTAAATCACATTAAAATTGAATGCAGAGGATATGTTTTCAGACTTATATTTGTAGGTAATGAGAAAGAACATTGATTAAAGAAACCTTTTTGATTTGGATACTTCAAGGTTGATTTTTAGGAGTTATTTTAAGTCTTCAGATTACTCACTCATTGTTTTCAGTTTTCAGCTGTTGGTTTGCTTTGAAGTTTTCTTGCATTTGTTCAGAGATGTCATTGATTGTTGTCTGAAACTTTTCTGAAAGTTCCTTTCGTTTGGCTTCCTCCTCTTGGGAGCGTAGCTGACTCTCTTCCTGATGAGAAAGAATACAAAAATTCTTGAATGTTACAATTTCCAAACTCAGAATATATCACAACATTCACATTTGCACAACACAATGATGCAATCATGGTTAAACTCCAACTTCTCAATCTAGCATCCAGCTGGCTAACCATTACATGTTGTTAAAATCATTACCACAATTGTTAAAACACTTCCTTCTTCCCACTTGTGAATGTTCAAAGCAGGAACATTGGACTGCTGGTAAAAATCTCAATACTGAGAGGGGAACAAGGAGTTTCATTAAGACTTAAAAAGCAGGGCTGTCAATTAGGGCCATAACCTGTAAAACCTGTTGTGTCTGAGCTAATGTGATTTCATGGATGAGCATGTTGATGCTGCCATTTTGTACTTCCTGGCATATTACACTACAACTGATGATATGTCCAACATAACAGCAGCTTCAAAAATTACTGACAGCCCCTACAAAACCTCTGTGTATCCCACTATTAAATGATAAGAAAACTTTGTACATGTTAGAGGGATAAATCCTCATATGGTATAAAATTCTAACCAAGCACCTTAACAAGTTTGCTGTGACGTTGTAATTCTCGGCAGAGACTTTCCAATTTGTTTTTGGCCAGACTTGCTTTGTTAAACTCTGACTGCAGCTGATCTCTTTCTCGTGAGACCTATAAAATTTCAACCACAAATTTCAATAAGATAAGCACCCTGATATTCTAAGAGTCACATTTATTACCTATTAATTCTCCAACCCACCATTTATTTCTATCATCACAACACTTCCATGTACAAGTATACCCTTGTATCTGATCAAAATGTAAGTTCTCCTCCTGGCAACTATCCAATTATCTGATATCTCAGATATTTTTAACCATTGAATATCACTTTGACAGAACACCAAATTCTCAGAACTAAATGTATCACCAAAGAGAATGTGTGACCACCATCTTTACTGAAAAAAATATGGAAATGTGAGGAGAAGTTGCACATTGATAACTCCTTGACATGAAAGAGATAACCAAAGAAGCATCCTTCAACTTCTGAGCCAGTTAATTTATACACTATGTAGCTCTGTTTTCTATCCTGGTGTTCAGGAATGCAAAGTGATATCTGCGACTGTCTAACAAAATATCAATTATCATTTGAGGTATCACATGAAGAACTATATGAAGCAATTGAACTGCAAATATTGGACTCTAAAGTTAAAACAATGCAAGCCACATCAAATTCACTGAATCCCTTTTTTATCTTTATTGTTTTCATATGGAAGCTCATTTGAATCAAAATGGTCCAAGTTAATTCAATAAATGACATGTTTTTATGACAATAATCCAGTTTTGGTGGTCTACCTTGTAGGAACTGGAAAGGAATGCAATGTTCAGGGAGAAGAGTTGAGACATGATTGAGTCAAACAGAATAGGACATAAGCTAAAAATTTTCTGTGTTTTGAAGATATAACATATGATGGCTCCACTTTACCTTTTCCAATCTCTTCTCTAATTCATCTTTCCTTACTTCTGTGATTTTATTTTCTGATATCTGCAAAAAATAAAGAAAATAAAGAGAGGTAAATGACATAACTGGATAGATGAGTAAGAATGCCATTCAAACATCGATAATCATTGTCAGAAAGAATGAAAGAGGGCTTTCCAAAGGAACCAAAATACAGTTTCTGGATATTTCTGTTTTGGAAATTTTAAGGATTTATTGCCCTCCTCTAATGCTTTTTCAGATTTCTGCAGCTTTACTCACAGTTTTGCTCAACTTTTTTTTTAATTGAATTGGCTGTTTTACAGTTTACAATAGGTCCCAATTTTATCCTCATTAAAAGAATCACAATTGAAAAGGTACTTTCTGATGATTGCGTTTTGGACATACATGCCAACACGCTGATCTCAATAAGAAAAACAAAAAAAAAAAAAGAACAGAGGACAGAGGGAGTGACAACCCTGGAAGAGGTACAAACTATCAACTCAATATTTCTTGATTTTAATTCAATAATAGCACAAAAATTCAAATGGAATACTTGATTACAAGTACGGTTAATATCACTTACGACCACCCGGGTCGAATTGATATCTAACTGCGCACATTAAGAGTCACGCAAAAACGGGTGTATCGATGTACAAACATTTGGTGCGAGAGCTGAAAAACTCGCTTGTTTAGGGCGATCGATTCCAATGCCCGAGAGATGATGACATATTAAAACAAGTTTTGCAAGTTCGAATCGCTTAATATAATAATTATCATAATAATAATCACAATAATTACTCGGCGGGTTTCGTTGATTACGATAAATTAAAGCCTTGTACCAGAAGTGAGCAACCGTAGTTATAAAATGCTCATATTAAAGCTATTAGAGAAATTGGAAGATTTTAGGTGAACTGCAGAGGTCTAAATCAATACCATTTCTTACCAATTGCAAATGTTTCCTGCCAAGGGCGTCCATTTTCGCTTCGGGATTTTCCAAATCTTCGAATGATTTGAATAATAACTCTACGAAATGGGTCAAAAGACATATGTTAATCAGAATAACTGTAAGAACAGGTCAATAGAATTAATGGAAAGGAATCGAGAAATACATAAACTTATTAACATCCTCTCAAAAAAGGTTTTATTCAGTTGGTTCAAATGCAGTTGCATCGCGCCTCGTTCGCGTCACCAGAGAACATGAATGTTTTAAACTTGTCACTTTCGAACTTACTAAGCTTTTTTTCTTCTTCCTTGAGCTTTTTGTTACTTTTTGCTGGCTTTATATCGGGGTTCTTGGCACTTTTTTCAGTGATTTTTGACGCCTTTTCGCTACCAAGTTCAACCGTTGGTTTGTGCGCCACTTCCGCCGCCGTTTCCAGGTGGGATTCACCGTTCTAGAATCAAGAAAATTCATCCGCATTTATAAGGGATTTTGACCCTAAATATGACAATATAAACTCTAAATGTGTCACCTGTGTCATTTCTGCGGGCATGTTTTCGGTTTCAAGGCTAGAATTCATGGCGTTTACTCGCTCATCGATGTTTAGTACAGAATAATTGTTTGAGAATGGTGTCCGCGCCTGCAGTAGGTTATCTTTGAAAGTCGAGTCCAGGCCTTCCCTAATCAAAACCACAGCCAACCACAGGTCACCCAATCAAGTCGCCACCGCGAGACCGCCTCGCCACCAGCCAAGTGGCAATTAAGCGAGGTCACCTCGCAAACAACTCAGATCCAGGCTCGTGTGAAACAGGAAAATATATTTGCCAAATTCTACGATTTCACAGTCTATTAAACAAGGCTGTTAATTTTTTACACGCTGTTAATTTGTGTATTAACCTATATTATTTGTGTCATAACTGGTAACAGGTAAGATCTTGTTTTGGCGTCAACTATAGCGAATGAAACTGCTGAAGGAGTGGATAGATGAACATCCCTGTCCTTCGCTGCCTAAACCAGAGAACATGGTCAGAGCTGCGAACCGAATGAGACAACAACTTAAGCCTGTAGACCGGCGTTCGAGATCTCCGAAGAAAATTTACTCACCGGTTTTCTGAAGGTCGACGTCTAAATACGTACCAGGAAGCACTTGCTGTTCGCAACTAGCCAGCTACTTCAGCAGTTAATAAAGGGTAAGTTCTTAAAGAAACTGTGGTGCTGCGTCGGTGGGAGAGTAGAAGCTGTTATACTTCAGTAGCTAGTTAAGTTAGTTAGTTCGACGTTAAGTGTTCCTCAAGGCTGACGTCGCTTCTTGGAACAGATTACGGACCGGTATTTATCGGGGGCGGGGGATTTACGGAGGATTTTGGTTGTCATGATAAAATTTACCTGATTCCCCCAAAGGCTCTGTAGTATCATTATACTGTGATTCCCCCTTATTAGCCGTCAGTCTCCCCCTGACTAATATTGATCCGTCCCCTTTTACACTCTGTTGGCGACGACTGATCTCCTTGATGACCAGGTGATCCGCCCAAAATCCTCCCCTCCCCCAGACACCCCGCATGAAGCTCCTTCTCTGATAAATAACGATGGGTTTCATCCTTCTTCTGGAAGGATTTCACCTCATTTGGGTAAATATATTTCTATTCAACTGCCACTTTACAAAACTTTTCCAATAATTATTTGGTTTTTAAAACTTCACGTTCAGTTATTACTTTTGGGTCTTATTCGGTGAATACGTACAAACCCAGGCTCTGAGGAGAGTTTTACATCGTCTTTTGTGTAACTCGCACTGTTCGTGTAACAAATGGATACATCTAGACATTTTGAAAGAGTGTTCCGGGCTCTCAAGCAGATAGGGTGGATAAGTGAACGGGCGAACGACAAATGGCGGTTGCTACTGTCAAAGAAATGGTTACGCCTGACCCTTCAGCTTTCGCGCGTCCGCTTTTTTTGCTCCCTTTCATTAACCGAGAACCTGGTACAGACCGAAAAAATTTTTCGAAACACCCTTTAGTACAAAACTTCTCCCGATTTAGTAATGTGTAATTGGAATGCCCTTAAAAAGATAACGGAATCTGGAAAATCCTCCTCGATCGTAAATCTTGTCTCTGCCTCTACTGCCAACAACTGCAACCCCCCAACTATGGACTTTGCAAGTCTTCCAAGAGAAACAAACACACCACATATAAGCATTGTAGAATTACGTTTATTTCATTAATAAATGCAACCAAAATGGCTGTTAATGCAGAGCAACAGTCGCTGCAAGCAGTAATTCATATAAAGTTCGTCGCAAGCCGGGGTCTCTTACAAAAGCGCGAAAACTAATAATATATGAAAAGCGCGAAAGTAACAAAGAAAAAAGAAGAATGTCTTATTCTCTAATGCATATGCGCACAAGAAACGCGAAAAATTCCGGTACATAACGAATGGATGACGAATATATAATACCAGTATTATATAACATTCAAGTATTCCCTTTAGCACTATAAACACAAGGATAGAGAAATATCATGAACAAGTTTGGATCACGTAAACAGATTAGAGAGCATTGCAAAGTTCAAGTAATAAAGCTTTCAGATGCCTGTATGTTGAGGAAAAGACCTAATTAAAATTCCAGCCGTCACAGAGAAACGTAGCGTTTTTAAATCGGATTGTGACGAAGCACTTATGGATACAAAAAATTACAAAACGTTCACTGGTTCAATATTTCCTTCATTTGCAAAAAGAATAGTAACTTTCAATATTAGTTCGCGTTATTTATTCCATTTGTTGCCTCAAATCACTTAGTACCTTTGCGTGACTGACAGAACAAGAAAGAAGAAAATTTCCTCTTACTGTACCATGGTACTTCAGTGAATCACTTATCCGTTCAATCCCTTTCACTCGGATCAAAATGCGAATGGGAATGGCGATCTTTGAATTTTTTTTTTACTGCAAGTGGTTGTTAAATCAACCTACAACCTCCTATACCGTCCTCTTTTTATGATACTCGCGGATAAAGAACCATATTTTCAACTCCTTCTGCTCGCCTTCCAAGTAAATTCTGTGGACATAACCTTCAAGCCCCACACCAGGCGACGTTCGGACTCCAATTGTAAATTGAAGGATCGCTTACTCAACATAATCCTGCATTCTTATAGCTGGTTTCCTCACCCTACCACGACTGGAAACTCCAATAATTTCGTTTCCAGGCGAATCACTTCCGCTGTCCGAGTCATTTTCGTTGTAATGCACGCGACGCGCAGACGAATTTCTCCGTAAACTTCGTCGCGAAGGCGCAGGAGTTTCATTTCTTTGCGACGCGTCGCTAGTCCTACGAGAAGAACTCGCATTCGATTTTCGTTTGTCTGAGTGAGACGCACCAGTTTTAGCAGAGCGCTTTGAATTTGGCCGCATTGTTACAGTGGGCCGGTGAGTAGGTCGAGCTGCCTTTCGACGAGTTTGCTGTCGTGACTGCACAGCGCTGTCGTCACTGTCTTCTTCTTCTTCTTCATCTTCATCTTCATCATCTTCCTCTTCATCGTCTTCGTCGTCCTCCTCCTCTTCTTCTTCTTCCTCGTCTTGTTCTTCATCTCCTCTTTCTTCATCGCTTCCTTCACCTTGTTCTTCTTCTTCTTCGTCGTCGCTACCCTCTTCCTCTTCGTCTCCATCTTCTTCTTCTCCTTCGTCGTCACTCTCTTCTCCGTTTACACTAGAAGAACCCCGCGCTAAGGACGTACTTCTGCGCGTTGAATACCTACTCGCCGGCGGCCCATTCGAAACACTTTCCTCCTGTCTATTCTGTTGTGTCCTTGAAGCAGAGAAACGCATAACAAGCTCGCGCCGTGCACTTGACCTTGTTGATCTAGTCTGTCTACCACTTCCTGTATCATCAAAAACGCTATCGTTATCCCGTTCAATACGGGATTGGGAGCTGACCCGAGAGCTTGTTCGGGTTTCTGTCCTCGAAGTAACGGCGTGACCGAAACCGTTTCTGTGTTCTGAATCTGACGTAAAAGGGGCACGCGTGCCTATTGAACGAGTTCTGCTCTCTCGTGCGCTAAGAGAATCTACGCCGGAATTAACGCCTGAGTAATGTGCTGCATTGGAGGCAGCCTGGTGTCCCGAATGGGATGTACGATGTCGTGACACACTATTGGTGTTTGGTGCTTGTGATTCTAGCAACCGCATGGTCCGTAACCTGGTGCGTCGGGCACCACCTGACGCAGCCTCGTACCAGTCTCTCAATACGCTGTCCACACGATCCTCAAACATGGCGGCCAGACGAATAGTCATTCCATAGATCTGAGAGAATAAATACGCAGATTATTATGTACCTTTTCCTTACAATATCAATCAAATGAGAGATGTACCATCGTACGGTTGCTAACTTGATATGAAACCAACGTCGTGGAAACCTATAAATGATTATACGTCTCAAGTGAAGTTTGCCAACAGAGAAATATTTTACCAAACGATGGGGCAAAGAACCTTAATTCTGCGAATAACGTCGCTTTCTGGGTCGGTCATCTTCTCTTCCTCTTTGTTTGTTGGGCGAATTAGGGGTAAAAAAACAAAAAACAAAAAACAAAATTTATCAGACTGATGGCATGTTCCTTATCTATGCTGCACCCCGAGTATCAAAAGTTGTCAGTACTAATTTTATTCGCGCCACAAGCGTCACCAATTTTTCACACAAGTCAGATAATATCGCTTTACCCGTGAACGCGGCATGGTGTTGTATGCTCTTGAATTCGAGAAAATCAAGCGCACATCTCGGACGAAAGTCTCCGGGTCGCTATACAAGTTGTCTTCCAATCGGCGATAAACAGTGCTGAAATCCATCGGTTCGGCCACTACCTCGGTGTAGTCCTAACACAAAAAGTAAATATTAACGGTTTTAAGTTAGGCTGGTATTGCTTAGGGTTGAACGAGAAACCAGGGCTAATTTAATTTCAATGAAGTGTTCCTGTCATTAAAACGGTTAAAATAGTGTAAAACATTCGTTTGACAACACACACAAACATGCACACACAAAATCAGTTTAAGGCGAGTTCCTTCCTGTTTCACTACCTCTTCTTTTTTGAGTCCTTTTTTTACGATTAAACACCCTAGGTTCACAAGTAAACTCACCGGGAAATCATTCAGATCTACAGGGTGTCGGAAGGGCGTGGCATCTTCACGAGACACCAAGAAGTCTAACAGCTCATGAGCAGACTGCATCCACGGCTGGAGTCAGAGAGAATATATAATTAGTCACTGAAAAGCTCTCAGACAATAGAGAAAACACAACAAACCAAACAAAAACAACAACAAAAACAGGTCGCCGTTCGCACACAGTTTTTGTAGGTCCACATCAGTGTTGACACCAGCACAGTGCAGACGGAGTTTCCCAGCTTTGGAGTAGCCACCCCACAAAAACAAAATCCGTTCACTGAAGTGTTTTCATGCGTAGTATCAAAGACTCAGCTGAAGCAAAAGTCTACCAGGGTAACCTTGGAGCCCCCGGGAAGAGGGGGCTCCAAGAAAAAATATGGCCTAACTCTGCCAACAAAAATATGGCCTAACTCTGCAGTAACATTACTTTTACGTAAGCAAAATGTTTTTCGCGAGCTCGTTTGTGCGGAGATATTGTGCCATTTTATATGCAACGAGTGAAAAGTCAAGGAAGAATAAATCATAAAGAAAGAAGGAAATGTGAGCCATGTATAACTGCTCGTAAAGCAACGGTAAAGACAAGCTTACCTCAACAGGAGGGGCCTGCTCTCTCTTTATATGTTTGTTGTGACTTTCGGAACTGGATGATTCCTGAAGAAAAAGAAGGTTTTCTGATTAAAAAACAATCACCTCTCTTTCCATTGTGATTACACGCACTCTAAGCGAGCGCTTGATGCTATAACGCTTAGTCTACAACCTCAAAAACTATTAGAAAGTTGCACTCACTCGTTTTCTTTTCCGAGAACCTGGCACAGTAGAATCCTTAGGAAGAGGTACAACAAAAAATGTACAGCAGTTAGACTTGGGGAATTGAAAACCAGGGGGAACAGTCGAGTTATATATTACGGCTCGATAAAACATCGCGATCGGGCGAATAACAATAATTAAGTTCGTATAGCCCACTAACAAGCCTGCCCTCCAGGCTAAAGTAAGCTCAGTGGTCGTATTCAGTACCTGTGACGTTTCTCCCTCTCCTGCTGACTCTTCGGACATATTTTCAACCTGAACCTGCAGAAGCAAACATAGGTTGGGGCTTAAATTTTAGAGCACTCTTCTACTGAGTGTTGCTACCAAACCCTATGTAATAAAGTCGAGAAAAAAAATGCCACCAGAATCGACTCGCTAAACTGAAGCGCAAGAAAACGCGAGGGGCCAAGGTACGGCATTATTTCAATTTACAACTTCTTAGTTCAGTGTGTGGTACCAGTTGCTAAGATCAAGCACAGGGCGAAGTAAAGCAAAATTAAAAGTATTCCCAGATTACTTTCCACTCTGAAATGAGAATTGCTTTAACTTGCTCTGTGAAAGGTATCGTATGGTGGCATTCATATATCAGCTTTAGAGAACACTCTAGGAAAGAGAAGCTAATCAAAGGTTACAATATTTAGTCTTTTGCAACGGAGAAATCTATCTTAGTCTTAAGTACAATATCGTTTCACTAAGAAGAGAACTAACTTGAGAGCAAGGAAATGTTTAATGCTCTCAATGCAGCAGCTGTTGGATCAAACCTGGAAAACCGTCAAAATTTAAAACAAATCTCAAACCTCAACGTCCTCGATTCCTTCTTCGTCTTCACACAGTGAAAGTATATCGTTGCACGTGGAATCCCTATCATGTTAAAACACGACAACAACTTTATTTTAAGGCTTATCCTGGGACCTGAATTATGTTTTCGAGTAGTTCTTTCAATTTCAAAGAAGAATATATGCAAACTTGAATAAAGAGTGGGTTAAGTTTTTACTTAAGAACACTTTGAGGCATTTTATTGATATGGCCAGTAAAAGAGGTGAAAGTTTTAACATTAACTTAAATTAACCGCTGATGTTGTTGTTTCTGTTATTCTTACTTTTGAGGTTGTTGACTTACTAGAAGCCGTTAAGGGTGGTACACCTCTTTGTAAAAAGCTTTTGAATATTACGTCGTTTTTAGAAACAGTGGTCGATGATACTCGGAGTAAATCGGATAGCAAAACTGAATAAAAATCCAAACGAGGCAGAAATTTAAGCCATACTCACCTAATAAACGCATTCAACACAGACACGAGTTTCATAGAATTTCTAACAATCTGACTTTCTTCCTCGTTGTAAAGACGAGCATTTCTTTCCAGTTGTTTTACTTCCCAAAGAAGAGCAGTAACTCGCCTTAAAAGGTAAATAAATATATAAATAAATATGCATACTTCATCAAACCACGCTGTTGTTAAAATGACAGCTCGATCAGCGAGATTTTGTCGTAATTCTTCTCTCGTACTGAGGAATAATCTGACTATAGACTAGAATGGGATCAATGCCAGTATCAAAGAAACTGCACACCAACCCTTCCCTTAAACCGACTACAGTCAATTGATAACAAGTAAGGGTTAATGTTGGGTTAGGGGAGGGGTCAGTACGCAGTTGTTCAGAAAGTGGTATTGAATCGAATAATGAAACCTTCCACTTTACACTCGCTGACTTTTTGACACCCAAAGTGGAGCGGAAAGAATGAAAATCTAACGTGATAAGTGTAAAAATACGAAAATTTTATTCTGCAAATGCGTATACATCATGCGCGCCTTTATTAATCTTCAGCCATTTTCCACGTTTGGTTTTGAACAAGTTTCACAGAGATAGTGCTACACCTGCCATTCGAAAAAGTTCTACCCTCTAACTTGTCTACGGAAAATCTTTGTAAGTCCTCTTTCGTAATTCTTAACCCTAAAACACCTGATAGCGAATAGGTAGTTCTCTCTAATAGCTGTCCTACATTTCGTTGTTTATTAGTTAAGAGAATATGGAGTTGTATCAAAATAACGCTGATAATAGAGCTGATAAGTTTGTCTCTCCTCATCACCTGCTGTTGGAGAATAAATTGAATTTGCAGGGAAAGTTATATTCTGATCTCAAAAAAATTGAAAATAACACTTCAAGACTCACCTGTAATACTTGTTCAAGAGCTTCTCCCGAATGGTGTTCAAGTCGGTAGGGTAAGGCACTACAGACCAGTAATCCGGGTATTGTTGCACGTCCACCGGGTATACGAACGGCCCCGCAAAATTCAGCTGACTCAGCGCTTCCAGACCTGTTACTAATCTCTGAGACATGGTCTCCCGTCCCTCACCAAGCCATTCGGACTCTTCATCCGGGTCATACGCCAGTGACAGTCGATCGTCATCGGTCAGCGGTATGTTACTAGTTGCTGCTCCTGAGGCGTCGGCGGAAAGATCTGGGTTGCCAGGATCTGAAGGAAATAAAAATACAAAAAACTTGAGAGAGAAGACGTGAACTTTTTTTCAACACGTTGAAGAAAACTTGCTTCCATTTTGTTTTGATATTCAAAATTTTAGAGAAAATGAAAGGGATTCATGAGCAAGACATTTGGATCTCCCCGTGAATCTCTCAAGCTTAGGGTGAAAATTGATGCTGACCGAGCGAAGAGTTAGGTCGGCCTGCCGTGACAAGGTACATCATTGAGTACATACCATGTTCAGTGACGGGCTGAAGGTCCCAGGGGCTCATTCGCTCGACCTCTCCTGTGTCCCATCTGAAAAATTCCATAGGTCATAATATTAGTCATTTAATATTAGTCATCACTTAATCGTCAGTTAGTACACAAATTAATATCCACTCGCTGGAGTCAAGTAAAAGCGTGGGGTAAATCAGCGGATCTGATTTCAGGGACATTGCGCTCCAACTAACACAGTTGGTCAGTTACTGTTTCTGACTGTAGCGGCCTCCGCGAAAGGGACTTTCCTGATATAATTAAAACATCTCTGAACACAACAGTACACGAGACTGTAAAATCAAGTGAATCAGTCTCAGTGCAACAGTTCTTTTCTAGGACTCTGAAGATAAGCGTTTACCTTTCTCTGTTGCTATTTGTTTCCCCAAAAAAGCTATATCAAGAAAAAATTACTGTATGGTCATTCTTCTCACCTGACAGTGAAGCACTGAAAGTGAGAGTCAGGAAAGTCGGTTTGGAAAGGACTTCTATCCGTGATCTCGCCCGCCCACCACGTCTCGTCAATGACACTGCGAAAGCGATTGCCTAAAACAAGATGAAATACCGAAAAAACATTAAAGATACATCCAAATTTTTTGTTTGATTTATCTGCTAAAGTATAAGAGAGAAGTTTAGGAGACCATCACTCTTATCTTAGGTGAATATTAGGCAAAGAGCGGCTCCCCCTTTTCGGCGAAGTCCATCGCACAAGTTAAAAAAAAAAAAAAAAAAAAAAAAAAAAATCAGTAAAGATTTCTTCGTAAATAGAATGTAGCATTGTCCTATAACCTAACTCCACTCTCTAAGAAAGGAGAAAGGTCTCAAACAAATGCTTTTGAGATTAATCTTGCAAGCCCTCAGGAAGAGACACACAACAACATGGCGTGACCCTGCCGTAATCTTGCTTGTAAGAGGGCAAGGTACAGTACAAAATCCGCTCAGAGAGCTTCTCAGAGTCCCGGGCACTAACACGTACTGGTTAAAAGAAACGCCAACACCAAAACACGTTAAAACTAGTTGAACAGGTTCAACGCGTTGGTGTTTATTTCTGTCGTAAAATTGCCCACTCTGTAGGCTGAGGTTTACAAACACTCTACTCTATAATGTGGTATGAAGCTCAGAGAAATTTTGTCTGAGAGAGGATTTAATTTGCAGGAAAAGAGATCGACTTTTATGAATATCATGGCTTAGAATGATCATTGTACAGTTGCATGATTCCCTTCCGGGTCTGACTGTGGCGAGAGTGGGGACAAGATAGAGATAATTTTCCAAAATTGTTCTCAAAAAAGGTGGAATTCTCCATGATTTTGTCAAGAATAAGGTTGCAAAGGGCCACTAAAAGTGGATAGTCATACCGGGGTAACGCAAGTTTGAGGTGTTGGTGTAAGATTATATCAATACAATGACACAAATCCACAGCTAGGCAGCTAGGAGATGGTCGCGTCAGACCGTACTTGATAAATTGGAGGAAAGCCTTCATCGCCTACAGTTAAACTGACTTAACATACCAGGTCTCCAGTTTTGGTTTATGGACGCGTCATAAGCTTGCCGCAATACAAGGAAGTCTAACACATCTGGGACGTCGTGATATCTGGCAAAAGAAGTGAAATCAATGAATACTTTAGCAAAGAAACCCAGCACCAATCATGCGTTCGCAAAGAATGTATTTAACATTTTGAGTACGGAATAATAAACCAATCAATAGGCAGTATTCTCTTACTTGACAGTGAACGTTGCTCCTGTGCTGTTGCCTGTCTCTGGATTTATTAGAGCTGCGATTAAAAGTAAACAGGAAATTCTTTAGGTGAACTTTATCAATATTTCTTGTCTAGGCAACCGAAGCCGTGATTTTCTCAAGACATTTGATGGAAAGTTATGAAAAAAATTTTTCCTCGACACACCTCCTGGTCCAAACCCGAAGAAAAGTCTCCACGAAAGAGTTGTCATGGACGAAAATTCCTAGTTTAGAGGACTTGATGAGGACACTTGTCAGGGACATCGTAAATAGGTAAATAAGAAATTCAAGATACAGTATATTCAGTTTGACGAAGAATTTTTGTTAACAAGTGCGTTTCCAAAGGTAAACTAGCACGTGTTCGAACAGCTAATTTAGAAGGAATGCATTTGGAGCAAAATCAAGAGCAGAGAGGTTACCTAGTTTTAAGCAGCAAAGAGTTGGTGGACCAGCTGAGTAATGCAGACTTACAATGCGACACAGCTCTTCAGCCTACAAAAAAAGACAAAAAATTATAGTGAAGACAAGAATATCGAAACTAAACTTCGTCATCACCATCTTCCCAACAATAGCGTAACTTCATTTTCTGCATATAAACACACACCCACTCCACAGTTCCTCCGATCGCTCTGACGAAGGACTAACGCTCGAAACGTCAGCTTTGAAACTCTTTACGGTGGCTAATTTAAGGTACCAACTCAGTTGATAAAACTAAATTACCCTGTTATTCTCTCCCACCAACGCAGCACCACGGTTTCTTTAGAAACTTACCCCCTTTGAACGTGATAAAGAAGGCTAAGGTAGCCTACCTTTAATCTCAGTTTATAGAAACACTGCTTCTTTGGATTGATTTCGTAACTTTTCAGCGCAATCACTTCCTTTACGTACAGTTCATGGCCTTGACGGAAATAATACACCTGAAAATAGAGATGAAACCAGGTCGTTCACAGCTGGAAAATAAGATGATTCTTAAGTGAATTTTAAAATATCAAGAACACACCAACAGTTCGTTTCGTATGCGTAGAAAGCACTCGGTAGACAAAGGCATGCGAGTGTTGCGCAGGCACGCGTTTAATGCTAGTGATGAGAATGAAGTGATAGGAATCTGCGCGCACAATGAATGATAATTTCTGCGCAAGGAAGAGGGTCTTGCTGTGTTGTACGTGAACATTAGGCATTAGCGTGCATCTGCGCGAGTGTCGGAAGGCGGCACGCGTGAGTATTATGTATTTTAATCAGTTCAACAACCCATGTATTGGCATTTTGACGTAAACTTTGATGGAAAACTTTTCTCAAGCACCAAAGAAAAAAGACCCGCTTAATTTAAACTTGCGTTTGAGTACCCTCGATAAACATTTGTACTTCGGCTCACTTATCCGTCAGACAACCACCACCGATTTGTGAATTTTGGGTTGCGCAAAGGCAATCGAGGGAACATAAGGGTTCCAACGATTTTGCGCACCATAAAAACTCTCTAACTTTCTGAACGCCAGTAGCTAAGTTCATTACGCAAGAATCAAGAAAAAGTTAGAAACAAAGAAAAGAAACCAATGAAAGCCTGAAGTAGACTACTCGTGAGAAAACACCTATTAGGACAAAAACTTTTTCAACAGATAAACAAAGACAATCTCCTTTACCTCGTCACCAATCTGAGGTACGTATGGTGAGATGCGCGTGACTGTGCAGATCAGCCAGTCTGGTGGCTGATATAAGCTGAGTAACTCCTGAACTTCGTCTACTTTAGGTTTTTTGGCCGGCTGAAAACAAAACACGAATGAATTACATCATGTTTCTCTGTTTTTCTGACAACCTCGTTGCACACGTTGTTTGTATTTTTTTCAAACAAACTTGATAACACTTCATTCTGTAATAGAGAAACAACACTCAAGAACAATTCAAGCCAGATCACAAAAAACAAAATTAATACACCATCATTGCACAGATGAATACCAAACGCAGGTCATATAAAACCTTTACTTACTCTCTTTTTCTTAGCAGGTTTCTTGGCTTTTTTACTTTCTTTTTTAACCTTGGGTTGCCGCTGAGGGGAGCTGGGACCTGGCTGAGTCGCTTCGGTCCCTTCCTCCTCTGATGTACTCAGTACTCTACACACCCGCCTTGAGAATGAATAAGCACATATCACAAGAGATAATTCACCATATCTGAAATCATCCTAGCATAAGTTAGATTTTTTTTTAGTACTGAATCTTGAAATAATCGTTTGTCAGGGTAGAAAACATAAAAAGTTATGAGTAAACAAAACGGAACGAGACTGACTAACGATAAAGGATTGACGCGAATTGCCTTTGACGAACTAAAAAAGTTAAGGCTCAGCAAATTTTCGAAGATGCAGAGACCGTGATGTAGCACCTTTCTGACAATCAATCCAAAAAAAGATTTGGACAAAAGATTTGAGGTCTTTCTCTTTGTGGAGGAAGACTGCAGAGGTTCTCTTCTTCGCCTGCTCGACCGTGCATAGTCACCGCTGACCACAAGAAGATAATGGAAAAAAAAAAGACACTTTATGACAAAAGAAGATTCTAATAATTACGTGTTCAAAAAAAAAAATGTATTCACCTTGGACGGCGGTTCTCAGTCTGTTGCTGTGTTCTAAGTCCAACTTCTTCCGTCCAATCCGAGTACTCACTTGATTCACTGTTGATAAGAGTAAACAGTCAGTGAAAAATTACTCAAGTCACACACCAGCCCTAGGCCGTCAAGTAACTTCTCTGTCACGCATACCCTACACAACGATATAGCCAGAACCGTGTTCCCACATACCTACTACTCTCAGACCATTCATCTTCCTCGTCTTCTTCTTCAGTATCGCTAGGCGTAGCTGCTGCCTCCTCTTCAGCTGATTCCTCTACGTCCATAGAGGCAGTAGCTCTGGTGGAGTAAGTTTGTCTCCTTGTTCCACGAGAGCTCTGTCCAGCATTCCGCCGATTTGAGGTGCGACGAGCAGCCTGCTGAGGTCTTTCTTCGGCAACTCGTGGTTCTGGTACATGAACCGTCACCTTTGAATTGAACGAGAGACAAAAATATTCAGTACTAAATAATCGAAAACCATTTACCCGACGTTAAAAGACTCTATACCAAACAAGGGCTGTTAAACTACTAGATATACCTTTCAGACTTAAAATATAGCAACACATTGTTACTCAAGACTGCCATACAAATACTTTCTAGTCTTCACGTCAATAAGTAATAATAATAATAATAATAATAATAATAATAATAATTTATTAGTTGTATAGCCCTATTTACATGTACAGATCAATAGTGCTTTACACTGAATAAAAATTAAAAACCTTATATATCTAAATAAAATTTACAATAGTAATGGTAGCTAAAAATATATAAGAATAAATTGTTTTAATGTAATATATCTGAGTTAATGATTACAAAAAGCTTCATTAAACAGAAACGTTTTAATAGCTTTTTTAAATTTATCCAAACACTTAATCATTCTAATTTCATGAGGAAGTCTGTTCCATAAGTATGGTGCTGCTGCCTGAAAAGACCGATCTCCAAATGTCTTCAGCATCTTACCCTTAGGGGGCTCAATCAACAGAGTACTTACTCTTTTGGATGTCGAGGGCAAGGCTCGTCTTTTTTTCTCTCTAAGATAGTTCAACATTTCTTCTCTTCCCAGTAACAGCCGTCTCTCCACATCACTCCTACAAGTACAAACACATTTAAGATTGAGTTTATTTTTGTCTCAGAATATGAAGGAAAAATTAACCATTTAAGAACAACTTTCTACCCAGTGTCGAGTTTCGAAGGTAATGCGAAATCTTATTGCTTTCCCACGTTAATAATTGGTCCAAAAAGGCTCACGCCACCTTTTCGATCAATCAGATTCAAAACTATGTTCAACCAAACGCGACTTGAGTTTTGCCTTGAGTTTGGATTGGCATCCTGGGATTAGTCCTGATTAGCCATCCAGCCAATGAAAATCATTATTGTTACTTAAGGTTATGGCTTTATGACACTCGATTAAAATGTGTTGTAAACACTTACTTAGCGATGCTTGGCTTGCTATCAGGCACAATTCGTCTATTTCTCCACGCTGCAGTGTCAGACTCAGACACGTCCTGAATCACAGGCACGTTACCGTGAACCAGCCGAACTCCTTCCACGTCACCCATCTGACGCATGCCATAGTTACGGCTTCCTCCGGGGCTCTGGAGGGGAGGTACTGCTCCCTGACCATGAGGTGGAGGGGAATGAAGACCTGCTGTAAAAAGCAGGAGAAAGACCAAGTTTAACAAAGCCCATTAATCTTTTGTCCCCAAGGAGTGACTAGCGTCTAATTTCTCCTTACAATATCACCCCTGAATCACACATCAGGGTCACGAGAAAAAAGGAAATGATCACCGACTAAAGAAGCTCTTGATTGTTAAACAAATTCTCCTTGTCAGCACTTTAAGAAATGTATGGAGAACGGTATGGAAAATACAAATGCTGATGTTAGGGTGGAAAGGTTAAGACAAACTTTACTTTTTACAAATAAACTTTGACTCCCAAGATCTGATCAGTCATTCTCCCCTCAGGTTAAACGCATCCTCTCACAAATAAGGAGGGAGAATTTGGTGATATGTAAAGAAAACACAGTCCCCCTGATAAATAAGTGCGTTCTCATCACCTTTTTACTGAATCACATATTTACATTGTTTGGAGAAGTCACAAGTTGATCACTTTTCGCGGTTAAAGGGGTTAGAACTTTCAATCGGTGCGTCCCGTTGGTTATAGCGGACTTTAAGAGTAGCTTCGATATCGGGCCGCAATTCCGGAAATGAGCCCGCGATCTTTGGATCGGGCAGATCGATGACTACACTGGAGAGAACGGCGGAAACCGAACCTACATATAGTCTCAGGGGGACTGAACCGTTTCCAGCGTTCATTTACTTAATATTCTTGATCATTTATATCAAGAGATTGCGTTAGATTTGTTTAAGGTAACACGATCAAATGACGCGAAGGAATATATATATATATATATATATATAACTAACTGCAGACAGTACTGTTTCGGCCTTCTGGGCCTCATCAGTGCAGTGCTGATGCTAGGATGGAGGTAAGGCTATATAGCCACCCTAAGTGATCTCAATATATATATATATATATATATATATATATATATATATATATATATATATATATATATATATATATATATATATATATATATATATATAAATAAATAAATAAATAAATAAATAAATAAATAAACCATTTTAACAAACCTGGAAATATTTGCCTTTCCTGCGCCTCAGCAGCTTCGATCTCTGCCAGTAGGGGAGGAAGATCTTCCCTTGGTGTGGGAGGGGGTTGAAGGGCAGGCCTGGGTGGGTCGCGGACATTGCTTCCGTGACCTGGCACCAGACGCTGAAAGTGCAGTGGATGAGGATTGCCGTCTACATCGACCAGAAATGGAGGAGGCATGAGATGTGGGTCCGTCTGGGTCTGCAAAACAAATACGTGCATAGTCAGGGTTAAGGTACCTACTTGCATAGCTACAGCATTTATTTTCCATTCTCTTGCGGCAAGAAGGAGTATTACTACAGTAGTACTTCTCCTGAATGAGTTGGCAGGTCCATTGCAAGTATTCTTTCACCGCCCAGAATCTTGTCAGGTTCACTTCTAATAAAGTGGTTGCCGATAATACCTCTTGGTGGAGAGAGGCAATGGTGTTTGGCCCAAACCATCGGCCCTGAAGATTTCTCATGCGTACATACACACGTTTTTCATAAGGTAAATTTTACCCGATTTTTGGATGGAAGGTGAAAGGAATAGTCAAAAGTTTCAATGGCATAAATCTAATTTTAAGATGCTCTTTACATTCTAAGAACATTCTCCCAAAACTCCTCCTCTCCTGTGGAATGTGCTCTAATTAATCACGTTTGGCAAAGGGCAAGTGCGTACCTGTTCATCAAGAACGTAGTTGTTGGAATCTCTTATAAGTGGTCTGTAATCCGTGTGGAAAAACTGTTCACTAGGAACCTGCAGTGAGACAATCGAAATATGTAAATGAAAATGCTCAGTTTTTATCTGAGATCAAAGTCACCCGGATTGCCTACAAGTCAAGCTGCGAAGTAAGCTCGGGGCGAAAAGTGTACCCAAAGCTGGAAAAAGAGCAGACTGCAAGATGTGGCGGCGCAAGACCAATGAATGCAACTCCCAGAGAGCTCACATGTGAGCTGTCCATGAGCTGTCCCACGTTCGAGACAAATATCAACATCTTTCTTTAGAGAAGTTTTTGATTCAGTGTCGAAAGTAATTCGGGCTTGATTTGCTTTTATTTCACTGCACTGTATCTAGATGTCTCGTCCAACTTTTCGGCTAATCAAATGCAAAACTCAACTCGATTACAATTTGTTCACTCGCGTTTTCCCGCGCTTCAAGCTGTATGTTTGTTGCTATTTTGAGCCGTGACATTTTCCCTGGTTCTGATGGCCGTTTGATGACTTTTCTTTCGGTCTTGTGACTCTTAATCGAAAACCACTCCATGAAAATTACAGGATAAAAGGTAACGTGGAATACGTAGTAGATAAGAGTGTGTTATAAAATGTGTCACTGAATTACCTGGCTGTAACGATCACTTGAACCATAACCAAAGATACACAGATGGCCGTGACTGTCTGTTGAGGCGAATTTGAGGCCATCCGGTGAAAACTTGCAATCGAACACAGCCCCGTGGCCTTGACCTTCAAGCTGAAAGGAAAGAGCACGAGGTTGTTAATCTACATTTTGAATTTTTGAAAAATTAATTCAACATTAGGCAAATAGGTAAAGAGAAGAGATACAGTAGTATTTCAGCTGGAAGATTCTATTGTGATCATATAACACCAAATTTATCACAAAGATTGCAACTAGAAGACCTACTCATCAGATCTTGGGAGTCAGAGGCTTGCTCAAAGCATGAGTGTACTCACTGAATTATAGAAACTCGTGATTTTAACGCCAGTTCGGAGATCCCACAAAATAACATATCCATCATGACCTGCCAAAAACAAAAATTAGGCCCAAGCCATTAAAAAGGAACTGTTGAGTATGGTATCAAGACAGATTCCAGGAGCCAAGAAAAATGAAAGAAGTTGAGAGATGTGAACTCCATCAAAATGCTTGTCTTCAATGTGTGCTTCACTCTCCACATAGATAGCCAGTTTCAGTGTCTTAAAGTAATTCCATCATAATTTAGGGAAGATCAAACTGACAACAGAAATTAAGCAAAAGTCAGAATCGTGGGAAGTTTGCAATGGACACTCCCCGAGGTGGCTCTTCTCGAGTACTGTTTCCAGGTCATAATGAAATTTGGAATGAAGGTTTTTGTGGAAGGAGGAGAAAAGCCCTCTGTGAAAGGACGAGAACCAACAACAAACTCACCCTGCTTATGACAGGTGAGGAATTGAACCCAGTCCACAGCAGTGGGAGGTGAGCACTCTCACCATTATGCCATCCCCACTCCCCAGCCAATGCAATCAATGTTTAATCACTTAAAATGATTTGGCATGATAGTGAGAATCTTTTCTTTTTTTTCTTTAATGGACTGCTATTTTCATGCTTCAACCAAGTTTATCAGCCCTTATTTTGACTTCAGTTTAGCATGTTTCACCTGCACTTAGAAGAACATGGGGGTCTGTTGGATGAGCCTCTAAGACAAACACTTCATCTTGATGTCCCTGAAGAAGTAAATTTGATATAATTCAGTGTAATTCACACCCAAAATGAACCTAAATTGTACCTAGCATGAACATGTAAGGAACGGAAAGTATTAATGCACAACTTTTTTTCCCAGAGGAAATGTTTTCATGAACAGGGAAGGTATACATATGAAAGGTGGGCTCCAACACAAAGAGGACAGTTAAACTACAGTTGGAATAATATTTGGTGCACTGGGCTACAACCATTTGGGCAACTAGAAACATTTTCAAGTAAAGTAATGCTCTTCACAAGTGAGCCACAATTTCACCAATTACAGAAAAGAAACCTTAAAAAATTGCTATGCTTTCAACAGGACTTGAACCCCTGACTCCAAGACACTACATGTAGTTGGGTGCTACTACCAACATGAGGTACAAAGCCTCTCATTAGGAGTGGGGAAAATTTAGGTGACATTTTTTGTAGTCATTTAATAAATTGCAATGTTTTCACTTGACAACCAAATTTTTTTCATTCTGGGGACCAATTAATGATTTTGGCACACCATGGAGCACTGATTTACTTTTTTCCTCAGATTTGAATTGGAAGGTTGGGCTTATTCAAAGCCAAACTCTAACTTTGGCATTTCTGTACCATACAGTATCCTCAAATGATGGTGCCACTATGGATTTCAGTTCTTAACAATACTGATACTTACACAGAGAACAAGTGAGAGATTTCCTGTAGCTGCTTCCCACACTTTCAGTGTATTGTCATTGACAGCTGTAATCACATGCTGATCCCACAGATCCCACCCGACCTGATACAGCAAAAAATGGAACATTTCTCAGTGTGATTACTAATTACAAAAATTGAAACAAAAGTATGGAAAATACTGGATCAGCAGTTTCTGCATTCCTGAACTCCCCACACATCATTATATAAATTATTTTGTAATGCATATTTCAAAATTATTCAATTTATCACTAAGTTTACCAAGTCTTACCATGGTAACTCTTGGCTTCAGAGCTCTGACTGACTCTTCTACTGGTGATGAACTGTGAGGTTAAATAAAGCAACTTTATAAACAAAACAAGTCAACCAAAGCCAATTAAATTACAAAATCTACTGACAATAATCCACTCATTCAGAAAAGTACTTAATATTTACTAGGGTTTTCCTCAGGATCAGAAGTAGGTGGGCAACTTGCTTAAAATTAAAAAGTCCTTATTACATGTAGGTACCAAGTTTTATAATCCATTTGTATTAACTAATATCTTAAACATCTTGAATTTATGGTGAAAGTCACAAGTCAACACCTTCAGAGCCACTCCCCGAGTCTGCCTTCTTCTAGCTCTTGGACAACTAGAAAACTCTGATTACGCATAATGCCTGAAAAATGATGACTTTAATAACTCATCCACACTTAGGGACAGGAGAGTAATTTTTGAAGATAAATTGGAAAGATTTTTGAAGTGAAGAGTTCAATCATGAAACGTACTTTGGAAGTCTCTTGCTGACATCAATCAAGATGGGTCTCCATGCTGATCTATGAAAATACCAAATCCTAGCTGTGCCATCTCTTGATCCACTGAGAAATCTGTAAAAGATATATTTACATCTCTCAATTATTTCACTTTCTACATACATTAGATAAGATATGTACTACATACATTATATATGTCAGAAAATTTATGACTTAGCAATGAATTGTTTCATAATCCCAAATGAAACAGTTGAGATAACTTTATGGCCCATTTTACACACCATTAAGAAGAAGTGTGCAGATTGGCAATTTTTAATGTTTTATGTTTCAAGATGACTAACATATTCAGTTTGACTTGAAACCCATATTTTGCAATCTTGTATTCAAGGACATTCACAAAGGAAACATGATTTCAAAATCTTTAAACTGAAGATTGACTTCTAAATGGAGCTACAAGTACATGGAGTCACATGGTGTATAATTCTTTGATAGAAATTTTAATAGCATGTAAATTTGATAAAGATGCAGCACCAGTTTGAATGAAGAGCTTTTCATTTGGCCTATGATTGGAAATTTTTGCTGCATTTCTATCTGGGTTTTTTTGTAAAGACCTTTAGTAGGGATTTTCAGGCTACAAAGGTAACTTTTGGTATATTTGGATATGCTATTTGTTCATTCCTAACAGTAAACAACCCATCATTGCAAACAAACCTGTCTCCTTTGTGACTAAATTGAATACTGTCCACATGATCCTAGAGAAGAAACAGGTATGTTTAAAGATCAAAATTTAATCAATCCAGAACTGGTTTCAAGACTTCACAAGAGAAATGCTAAGTATAAAATTAAACTCACATTGTGGAAATCTAACTCCGCAATTTTCTCTGGTGGCCCTGGAGTCATTTGGTATATTCTTATATAATGATCTGTACTTCCTGACACTAAGAATGTTCCTCCTACAACAAATAAAAAAAAAAAAAAAAAAAACTAAATCATTCTACAGATACCACTACATGTACTGTATGTCTTAGAGACATAAAACATAGAACTAAAAGCAAATTTAGATTATAAAATTAATAGGTTTAGTGCATCTTTCTATAAAACCATGCAAACATGGAAGTTAAAAGCTACATGTCGACATAAAGAACTTCCTGTTATGGTTATCATTGTTAGTCTGTGGTAAGTATTCTTAACATTCCCAGTTCTTTCAGTATTTGTTTATTTTCATCTCATTAATTTTCATTTTCCAATTTTTACTTTTTGTAGTTTCCTTGCCTTTGACAAAAGCTTTGTATATGATGAATTAAAAATAAAATGCATGTGCAAGATGTTTGATTACTATTTTTTTGGTAATCATTGTCAAAACATAGATTTTCTAGATGAAGCAACTCAAAGAGCTTTCACAGTTGATTCAAGTGAGTTCCACTAAACGATTAACAGCCTTGCAACCTCATTATGCATCTTGAACTCCACAACTTGTATGTTATTCAATGGTGCAGCAGAAAATTAATAATTTAGAAACACTGACTAAGAGTACTTTGTATGATGTTACCTGGACTGAATGAGGAACACACCATCTGTGTTCCAGGTCGCGACTTCTCAATGAATCTAATAGGCTTGGAGCTTAAAAAAAAAAAAGAAGTACAAGGAGGTTAAAATTTGATATCATTCAGTGTAATTCACACCCAAAATGAACCTAAATTGTACCTAGCATGAACATACAAACATTTCTTTAAGCTGTACATGGATTTGACATGTGAACCTTGTCTACTTCAAGACAGCTCAAAGACTTAACCCTTTCACCCCCACAAGTGACCAAGACAGAATTTCTCCTTACAATATCAATACAATATCAACTAAGTAGGTGATGAGAATAGAGAAGAATACCAATCATGGGATTATTAGTTGATCCAATACCAAATTCTCTGAACTAACATTATAAGAATAGTATGGTAGATAGTAAGGAGAATTACTGATTAGATCTTGGGAGTCAAAGGGTTAAAATGGGAATGGGAATAAATGAGAATTTAGCAATAGACATTCCACAAGGTGGTTCTTCTTATCCACAATTTCCAGGTCAAATTGGAATTTGGAATGTTGGTTTTGGTGGAGGGAGGAAAACTGGAGGGGCCAGAGAAAAACCCTTGCAGCAAAGACAGGAACCAATGACAAACTCAATCCACATGTGATACCAGGTCTGGGAATCAAACCAGGGCCATGGTGGTGGTAGGCAAGTGCTCTCACTACTGTGCCATTCCTGCTTTGCAAACTGACTTGTGTGTAATGCAGAGTATGCCATACTATTTTCAACACTCACTCAAAAGTTAAGGTTGCTAAATCCCATTTCCAAAAGCAAACTGTTCCATCTCCACCAGTGGACACCAGATACCTACGATAAAATAAACAAATGCATAATTCAAACTACATCACTGTTGGCTTACGATACATGAGAGTATTTCTCTTTCAATTTAGATTAAGGCTATTTTTTAAGAAACTTAAATGGCAAGATAACCAAATGAAGTGGTGTAAAGCTTTACTGAATTTTTTGAGATAAGGAAAGGCACATTACATAAATTTGTTTTTCTTATAACAATAATGCACACTAAACAAAACTAATGAAAGCTAAAACGTCACCTACCCCTTTTATCATACTACTACCACCCCAAATATAAATTTAGTTATCATAATAAGTGTGTAGACAGACAAAAAAAAAGTTGTAAAATAAATAAGGATATTGATGGACTTGAAAAAAAGGAAATCTTAACAGGGAACTGAAACCTAAAATTGAACCATTTTTAAATTGCAGCTTATAGATTAAGTATCAATGTTCAAACATTTTTTTTCAGTCTTTGGGCTCAACTTTGCCTTGAAAGATTTGATTTATACCATGTTTTGACCCAGTAGCATCGCAGCTCGGAAAATCAACATCAGCCATTGATATTATGTCACACGTGGGGGAGAAAAATCATAACCCTTAAACACAATCTAGCTATCACTTTTGTGATTTCTCAAATTAAGTAAGAAACAAACCAAGAAAGAGGAACCTGAAAATTTAAATACCTTGATTCATTTAATGGTGAAGGGCAAAACTGTAGATGAAAAAAATTACAGCATTAATAATTAAAACTCTGTTCAGATGAAAATTGATTAACAATTAAATAATTGCTACAGAATACATTTTCCATTCTAGAAACAAAAACTATTTCAAGTACCACACCTGAAGAGAAGTTATCATGCCTGTATGTCCCTGGAGCACTGCTACTGGAACTGTGGATTTTATAGACCACACCCGAATCACCTGAAACAGTTCAAAAAACATCACTTGCTCACTTACTGAGTTGAAAGTATACTTGGCACATGTTGAAGATAATGGTAATAGGACCGAGTGGAGTCTGTAATCACATGGTCTTTAATCATACCAGTGATTAACAATATTCGACATGAGAATGATTACAGACTCAATTAAACAACACAAAGTCCTGTTACCAATTTATCATAACTGTTACAAATTCCTGAAAAAGCAAATACATTTAGGACAAACATCTCTGGTAGAGACAGTGTCTAAAATAAAAAATTCCTCCATTTGGGAAATTTCCCAGTTTTCATCCAGGGTAAGTAGTTGTTGCTATGGTTGTTAGGATCAATTCTGCGATTAGTAGATTTAGCTGAACAGCTGTACAGAATGATTAGTGAAAAATAAAACAGCTAATGCACTATCTACAATTGAGGAAACTGTAATGGTTATGATTAATAGACACAGCCACAAAGTACCATAACTCTTTCACTACCTCCACTAGGTAAGCAAGAGATAATTTCTCCTTATAATATAAATACAATATCAAGCAGACAAGTGATGAGAATAAAGAAAAATATCAATTATTGATAAGTTATGACATGAAATGGAGTGCAATTTGGTGTGAATAAGCACTTCTGATTTTTTCAAGGCTACAAATTACACTCACCCTACAGGCTTGTGCAATTTTGTTGACTTTGAAAATTTTACTCATACTTATTTACACCAAATTGTTCTTGAATTCATGTTATTACTTATTGACATGAAAGAAGGATCACAGATAGTCAAGACAGACAAAATTTTGACTGCGCACACAAGCTATTTGTAATTTTCACTCATGTTACAACTTTGCACTTGTGTTACATGAAAAATGCACTCATATTTAGCTACTCATGTAATTTTTTCATGTGTAGCAATAAGGAATTATTGTTGATCCAACACCAAAATCTCTAGGCTAACATCATAAGGATTGTATGACAGACACTATGGATAATCACTGGTGAGATCTGGAATTGAAAGAGTTAAAAGCAATCATGTACAAATACAGCAATAAAGGCTGATTCGGTGACACCAAAATCAGTCTCCTACAATAATATATAGATTTATCCAAGCCTAAAAGCAGAGCTTGCATTTTTTTTCCCCACACAACTTGTCCTGGCCAGGACTAGAACCCAGGTCCTCCGACTCGGAGCCCAGTGCACTGACCACTGAACTACTGAACAAAGCTGTGGGGTTGGTGTGCCTGCAGTACAGTTGACCATGCATGTCAAAAGTAGCACCTTGTACAGTTGTACAGTCATACATCAAAATTTTTTTGGCTTAATGGGTTACTACTATTTTGTATAATTATGGAGCTACGCTCTGCGAGCTCTGCTATAAAATAATAATGATTGGACAATACCTTATCACAACTTCCAGCTGCAACAAGGTTGTTTTCATAGCTAATTGCAATATCAGATATCTCAGCTTGATGTCCTCTCAAAGTGGCAAGAAGTCTACCATCTTCACTGGACCAGATTTTAACCAAGCTGTCATCAGCACCCTGCGAGACAATTCAAATATGAACAAATTCCTTTTATCGCCAGCAGCTTCATTTGTAATAACCAAATGATAAGGTCTGGGAAGTACTAAACATGAACTGTCACTGGCTGAGGAACAAGCAAAGTGGAGAATATTATTCTTACAAGCTAGGAGAATATCTCTAGTTTGTGAAGGGTTTTCACAATTTGTTTATTCAGTCTTTAGTTCTTTTACTTCAATGTCTATTGGACTTCTTTAAAATCAACTTACCGTAACAATGCATTTGCCACTTCTGTCAAAGAGCACACAATATACAGCAGAAAGATGACCAAGTATTCTGCGATGCTATAGAAAAAAACACAAACAGGTGTTACTAACCTTTATAACATGCAGGCTCAAGAAAGTTGACGTAAGCTATGTACAAATACTTGTGGTTTTTAGGAGTAGAAAAAACTCACCATAGATATTTTTGTGTAAAGATTTGGTTGTGCCACATTTCTGATACTGGATGTTCCACTGATCTCTCTGCTGCATAACACATGACCTGAAATACCATGAAAGGAATTAGTTAAGGTATCATTTTTTTATTAAATGGCTTACCTCAGAGGTCTTCTTAAAGAAGGTAGAAGAGTAATAATCACAACATAGAAACACTCAGGAACTCAGGAACATTGAGGCAGGATATATTCTGAGTCCATTGAGGAAAAATACAAAAATAAGTGAACTGCGCAAACAGACCATTTTCTTAGCAATCACTATTCTACTCGATTTCAAACCTACAAAGGTGCATTTCCTACAGTGTATTTTTACTGCTATTTATTTCCTCCATTAGCTTTGCTATTTTGCAGGTAGGGATTGTTAGATATGTATTTTAATTGCTAAAATATATAAATTTTGTTTGATGTTGTTGTGAATAGACACTAAGAATTGTTTCTGTTCAACATCTCACCAATATTTCCCGGAATCCTTCTTTTTACTGGTGGCAATAATGGTGCTCCATGATAACAAACAGCTAATGAGCTCACACTTGGTTTGCTTGGTTCTTAGAAAAAATAATAATTAAATGAAAGGAATTTCATATGTGCACTAAAAAGACTCTAATGGCTGGAAATTAACAGAGCTTTTTCCTAATAGAGTTTTTTCCACATAACTTTATCTTGCTCCAGTCTGTAAGCTTCACTCTAGGTGAAGACTAGCTTCACACTAGTAAATTTCAAGTTGTACTGACAGAGGAAGTATTTTGGGAACAAGAGGCTGAAGTTGGTGGGATCAAGTTTATATGATGCTCTAAAGGATCGTTCATTTGATCTAGCAAAAATATTTTTTAGCCATAGATTGTGGTTGAAAGTCTGGGTCACTTCCAACATGTTCCACGTGCAAAATAACATTCGTTCGGCATTTCAGAGAAGAGAATTTATTTAAAAGTTAATGAATCAAACTTCATGCAGTCAGCACACGCAGCGTAGTACCTGAAGATATCCGCAACAAATTCTGCCTTCCAGCTCCTAGCAAGGAACGATAGCCCTCTACACTCCCTGGTACACATTGCTCGACCAAAGGTCCGAGCCGTTTAGCTATTCGCAGTAAGAAATCATCTGGTATGTGGTTATTCTCGGTAACCTAATGGAAAAAATATTGGCGTTGCAGATTCATAATACCCTATGGTTTCCCTCAGATTTTCTACACATTTAATGCCACAGGAAAAAATTATATTTTCAAAACCGCAAGACCACAAAAAATATATGGTACAGAAGATCGCAAACGTTCAATGTGGTAACCAGGCCTTCTTTACAGAACAAGAAAACAAAATGTGTTTATTTTGCATAAAGGAAACCGAAATAAAATTGTTCAGAGCAACTTTGATGTGTTTTTTTACGCCCGATCAAGACTGAAACTTTGAAATCGAAACGAAATGAATACTACAGAAACGAGCGCGAGCGAATCTGTCTTCAGTAGCAACATGACGAGCTAGATATTAGATCTTAAGCCACTGAGCGGCGGAAATGAAATGCTATTTATATTATTCTGACGTCGTGTTGACAGCTGGAATTTCAATCTCCCATTTGCAATACAATAGGAAACTGAGCCGACACGCAGCACCCTCTGATCTGATTGGCTCGCTTGAAATAAAAACCATAAATAACTGATTAGCATATGAATAGACAAAGGCTTGGTATGCATAAGTTGTTGGGTGTCAAACACAGCCTAAATTTCGTAATGAACGCTGCAAAAAACACAATCTGCTTGCCAGTCGAAAATACGCTCGGAAAATAAATTTCTCCATTTTTTGTCGGGCTTCGCCCACACGATGCTAGGAAAATAAAATTTTGTTCCCCGCTTAAAAATCCCCAATGAATTTTCAAGGCTACAAGTCGAGAAAAAGCTTTAAATCGCGCAGTCGACAAGATCTGTAAATGGGGTAAAAGTGTACCGTTTCCTCGTAGGTTTGGTCATGTTCTTCGCCCCTCCAATCCACACGACGACGCAAAAGCTAAGAGAGGACATACAGGAAAGGATCAACTATCAACATGGCATGAATTAAAATCTATTGTCTGCTTACCTCGCTGGGGTCAAAACTGTTCAACTGAGGAGCTTTCTTTGCTGTAAAATATATAATGTTATCGTAGAGGTGTAACTGCACCTATGTCCAACGGGTTTTAGAGAAAAGGGGTACTTACCTGATGTTCGACCAACTCCTCTTTCAATGCCTGCGTGAGAAACGGAACGTGTTGGTTCGAAATTTAAACGGAATAAACCCACGCAAGTTGAACTTACCAATCCAGCACGTACACAGGGGCCCTTCGAGAGGAACTTCGCGATCAGGAAATAAAGTTCTGTAGGATTTCGGACAAGAGAAAAGAACTATAAGGTTACAGGCAGAGGAGACAAAATGTGACCGAACGAAACGAACCTCTTTCAACATCCTCGTCCTCGGTGTTCACCATTCTGGGTTAAGGCTTGTATGAACAAAATGTTCTTCTTGCCAAAATAATCCTACCGTCATCTCAATTGAAGAAAACGTTCGTTCTTTTCGCCATCAACGGTTAAAGCGTGACATGGCGGCAAACAGCATTCGACTTTCTTTTTGTCATGACATCATGCATAATCATAAAGGACGCAGTGCGCATGCTCACACGCGACAAATTTCAGTAAAATCGTGACCGGCCGGCGAGATGCTTCTTCTGTTTTGAATCGTGTTATGTGAAAAGAGTACTAAACTTGTGTTATGTCGTGGTTTAAGGAAGAGAGGAAAACCTCCTTCATAAGAACGTTCTGTAATAATGTCATCAAAGCCGGTCAGATTCCTAAACACGTTGCCATCATAATGGACGGGAACAGAAGGTTTGCGAAGAAGGTGAAGTGCGAACGTTCAAAGGGACACGAGAAGGGTTTTGAGAAGTTAACAGAGGTGAGATACGCGGCTATCATTTGCTGAGTAAGCTTATGTCTGCAGGAAATTTTAGTATAGCTTTTAAGTTATATTCAAACCATTTCGGTCAAAATATCTACTAGAGATCCCAAGGTAAAAAATTATAAGGCTTGCGCCAAATTTTCATCACTCACTCGGTGTATAAAGTACAATTGAAATGAAAATGTTATTGAAATAAAAAGAAATAGGATCAAAACGATGATTTTATCGATGAAATATGATGGTTGAGCAAAACGATTGCTCTATATTCAGTTAAGGTATTGACTAGCCTTTTTATTTTTGTGGGGAATTTTGACATACGCATACATACATGAAACCTGATACTTCAGTCATCTGACTTCATTTTTGCATGATATTGCACAATTCATTGACTCTAAGGATCTGAAAGTTGACCCTTTTGGGTGTTCCTGAGAATCTGAAATTATATCAAAACAATGTTCCTCCAAAATGATAATGTTCTTGTTTCTTTTTGACTGTCTGCACGGTAGTTAATGAAAAATTGTAAGGAAAAAGTTTCATCTTATCAGTCCTGGGAATGCAAAGGTGAAGCCAAGAATGGTTTTTTTCCTTTCTTTTGTTTTATTCAAGGGAGATCAGTAAATAGTGCTGTGATGCACTCTTAGTTTTTAACATTTTGGGTAAAAGATCCTAACCAAAACAACCAATGATCATGGTACACTGTAAATGGATTTTGAGTTGAACACAAGAAGAGAAATTCCATATCTACAAACAACTGTGTATTATTTTGTTTGTCATACAAACACCATAAGCCTTTACTGACAAGAAAAGTTGACTTAAATAATTCATCAACTCAGCAGAGTGAAGGCAAAGGTAAGTGACCCAGTATCAGCTGATTGGTGATATCAAAAACACAAAAGAAGTTATCGTAACTTACTTGTGCACAGTTATGGCTTTTCCTAGGGCTGGAAATCCTTGTAAACACTGAAGTTTGTATAATAATGCACTATCATCCATTATTTGTTCTGTGTCAAAATCCATAATATCATTTGGGTGCATTTATTACAACATAATTAAAAGTGAATGTCACCACACTCTTCTTAATGATCCTTTTTCACTCATTACAGGTGCTGGAATGGTGTTTTGATCTTGGAATACCAGAAGTTACAGTTTATGCATTTAGTATTGAGAATTTTAAACGATCAAAAGAGGAAGTGGATGGACTCATGGAACTTGCCACACAAAAATTTGATAGATTGATGGAAGAGAAGTAAGGACATACATTAGTGATGAAACACATTTATTTGTTTTAACCTTTAAATTCCCATGAGTGACCAAGACAGAGGTATTCCTAGCAGTATCAATATAAAATCTAACAGTCAAGTCATGATAATAAAGAAACATATAAAAAGTAGGGGATTTTTATTTGATCCAAAAATAAATTCTTAGAACTACATGTACATGTAACAAATAAAGAATTGTATAACAGACAGTAAGAAGAATCACTAATGAGATCTTGGGAGTGGAAGGGTTACAGTACCACTTGTGCATATGTTAACCAAAAAACATCTCATCACTTGTCTGTTAGATTCTGTATTGATATTGTGAGGATAACTTCTGTCTTAGTCACTTGTGGGAATGAAAGGGTTAACACACCAAAAATTGCATGCAAGTGCTAATAAAAAGAAATGTGCATGTCAAAAAATCACACATACACACATAAGCTTGATACAATTGCTTTGTTAGTATGCATGAGGTATACCTTTTGTTTTTTCTATTGTTAGGGATTTATCTTTTTTAACCCTTTAACTCCCATGAGTGACCAAGACAGAATTTCTCTTTACAATATTAATACAATATCAATCAGACAGGTGATGAGATTGTAGTAAAGTGTAAGTTTGAGGATTTTCTAGTTGATCCAGTACCAAATTCTCAGAACTAGCATCACAGGAATTGTATGACAGACAGTAAGGAGAATTACTAATGAGAACTTGGGCAATAAAGGGTTAAAGAATAGACTACAATGAAATAGCACTAAAATACTACACAAGTAGTTTGTTTCAAGCTCCATTTGAACTGACCTTCCCAATAGGCTGTTACATATGCTAATATGAAACTTGTAGAACGAATAACAAGCTCTCATGATCCAATAATGTCAACATTCTGCATTGATTCAAGACTTTCCTGAACACAGAAAGATTCTCAGTCTCCTATAATGGGTTATTAAATTCCCCTAGAAATGACAAAATTTGATTTTTTTTCTAAGAGAGGAAATCAAGTAAACATTTTTTGGGAAGATGAGAAGGGAAGTAGGCTTGGAGAAGACCAAAGCAATTCTTAAACCCATTGGATTTGTCATGAGTAAGAGTAAGAGGGGTCGATTATTGCATTACAGTATGGAAAAGTCTATGGGTTATCTTTACACTAAAAAAAGGGACTATAAAAATTACATTAAAAAGTTACAAAATTTGTGTGTTGCACCCTGTCACTCCACTGGAAGCTGGCAAAAAGAGAAGAAATTGGCAAACCACCATTTTGCCCATTGTGTTAGCAGGGCTTCTTCTTGATTTCTAAATGACTTTTACCTGGCCTTAAAGTTGTCCCAGGAAAGAGCAATCTCTTGTACCTAATAACCACATCAGGAGTAACAACACCTACCACTATGATTGAATGAATTGTATTTTTTTTGATATTCATTTTTGTGTTTTAAGAGAAATGATCATGAAGCATGGAGTTTGTGTGAGAGCGCTTGGTGATCTCACCATGTTACCAGAAGAGTTACAAAGATCAGTAGCAAGAGTTGTGAAATATTCTCAAAATAACACCAAGTAAGTTGGAGCCATGTTTATAAACCTTTATCATGCACATAATGGACATGGAAAAAACTAATTTTCCAGCCAAGAGACCCTTAACTGCTCATGCACTTATTCCAGTTTCTATTATGGAAAAATTACTCTTCAGGAGTATTAGTTGTGCCCCTGATCTGGATACTAGTTCATAGCAAATTACATATGTCCCAGGGTAATTAATTATTATCAAGTTTAACTGAGTTGATTTTAAATAAATTAGCCCTTCATCAGAGCATCATTGTCATTGTTCTGACGCAGGGCCAATGCTCAAAACATCAGCTTTTAAACTCCTTACGGTGGCTTATTTACGTTATCAACTTGTTTGATAATACTAAATTACCTTGTTATACTCTCCCACCAATGCAACACCACAGTTACTTTAGAAACTTACCCCCTTTTTACATATATCCCAGCCAGCATTTCATTTGGTGGTTATGTTTATAGTGTGTTGGCCTAATAAATAGTTAGAAACTGACTTGAAAGGTGGTGGTTTGCATCTTGGTCATTTGTGCCATCCTTTCAATCCAGGAGTATAAATGGGTACTGCTGGATTGTCAGGAGAGAAGTAGAATGATAATTTGGTAGTGGGGTGTTTTGGCGAGGGGGGAGATGTAAAGCATTTGCTAATGATTGGAGCCTCTTTTGTATGAGGGTCTGAGACCATGTTCCTTAAGAAAATTCAGGAGTAACCTGATGAAATCCTGATAGAATTATATGTATTACTTCATCCAGGCAGATTGTCAAATTTATGTATATCAGTGTTGGTATCTGCAATAACAGCCATATGTACTGTAATTAAGACTTGTTTTATCTGCTGATTTGGTGGTGTTCATTTGATAAATTTTGGATGATCTTTAGCTCACCATCCCTTCAGATAAATGTTGAGTATAGTTAAAATATATTTTTCAAAAGCTAAGATGCTTAAAAAAAAAATTGTGTAAAGAATTTATATGCACATTGATGTATCTTACTATCTTCTGGTAAAAAGCAAAATGACTGGAACCAACATCAGTTTCTTATCTTTATTTGTGTTTACTTCTTCCAGAGCAACCTTGAATGTTTGCTTAGCATATACATCAAGACATGAAATTTCAAATGCTGTTAAATTAATGGCTGAAGGTGTTGAACTTGGTTTATTAAAAGCAAGGTACATGTAGTAGTCCTTTACAGGGGTACAATTTTTATCCGAAATGGTGGTAACTCCCCTCGAATAGACAGTGCTTTAGTAATCGCAGAGAACTGTGAAATAAAGGAAGGTATTCATTAGAAGGGTTGGGGAAGAATGGTGAAAGAGAATTTCTTCAAAACTTTCAACAGAAGTTTTTTCTTGGGACAGAATCTGGCTGTTACATGTATGTGAAATCATATACCACATTTTGTCTTGCACTATGGTTAAATACATCAGCAAACTTTTTATGCAGCTATAAATAGTTTTTCTTGCATCTTGTGATTTCAAAAAGACAAAGCTACTGTAATCTGGGAAAATCAATTTGTTCAGAGCTACACCTATGTTCCCTTAGATGTTTAAAATGCACTGTACAGCAGTTCATTGCATGTTGAGTGTTTTGACTTAAACTGCTTCTTTTCTTGACAGTGACATTAGTGAGTCATTACTAGAGAAATGTCTCTACACATCACACTCCCCACACCCTGATATGTTGATAAGGACATCAGGAGAGGTGCGGTTTAGTGATTTCTTATTATGGCAGGTGAGAGAAAAAGAGATTTGATGTTGATTTAAATGCAGAAAGGCTAGGGAGTCTGGTTGGAGAACTTTGAAAGATTTATAAGCCTACATTATGTGTAAACATGTATATGTATGAAACTTGTCTGTCGATACATGTATAGTTTGAATCTAGTTGCTCTGCTTTTATTGTCTGTTTCATCATCTGTGATTGGTACATTTCAATTGTACCCAATCAAATGCATTCATCTTGGCTGATGAGAACTAACCAATCACAGCCTCATTCTTGATGCGATGATGTTATACCATTCAACCTCATCACTCAAATGAGACTAGCCGCATATGCATTTGTAATATCTCAGACAACCTTGGAAAGGCCTGCATTGCAAGACAAAGAATGATAAGTTATAACAAATCATAACCATTTAATTTTAAAGGTCTCTGAGACTTTGCATTGAGTGAATGATATTCCTGAAGGATTACTCAGTTGTTGCCCTGATCATTTTTTTTAAAAATCTGTGAATCCCTGTTGAATAGTTGAAAATAATGTTTTATTTTTCACTCATTTTGTTTCAGTGTTCATATTCCTCATTGTCATTTCTCAAAGTTTTATGGCCTGAGTTTTCAGTGTGGGATTTTTATGGAGCCATTCTCTCATTCCAGTGGAATTATAAGGCATTCAAGGTGAAGGAGACTTCTGTAATTCATCATATTTTGTTTTCCTCATCACAGGCACATTCTAGAAATACATCTTTGGGTGTTCCTGTTTTTTTTTGAACCTCTTGATACTTTTCGATAACTTTTCACCTTAATATGATCTAATACAACACTCTTTGGGCCATGATTTTCTTTCTTTATTTAAAAAGATCTTATTGTTTCATAAAATGGAGTGACTTTGAGCAAAACAACCTGCAACCTCTTGCAGGAAGCTACTGAGAGCTGTAGGATAAAGCAAACACAAGCAGAGTTGGACTGGGAGCTACAATGTGTGTTGGATGAAATGGCAGGAGGATCTGTTTCAGTCTCCAATGGCAATGGTCACATGCCAAACACAAGATCAGCATTTGAACAGAACGGCGCGACAACTGAGGAAATACCCTTAACAAATGGTTACCATGGGCTTCAAACAAGCATACATAATGTTGAAGAACTTATTACTATGCCTTGCATTCAACAGAGACTAGAAACTTATAGAGAATTGAAGCAATCCAGGATAGATAAATTTCTTGCACATTTGGAAAACAGACAAGTGGAATATCTAGATAGAATATGCCCAAAAGTGATGTGAGAGTACACTTGTTGCTTGAAACCAGACAGACTTTATACTTTATAAAATGAAAATAGAGAAAAATTGAATGTTGCTCAGCCTAGCAAAAGGAAGTTGATCCATTCAACTTTTCACCAATCAGTTGAAGCATTAGAACAATCAAAACTTTAATTACCTGGAGTAACTAAAGATATTACTGCATTTTAAAGAGCACTTACCTTCAATCAAATCAACTCCAAATTGCTTTTAAAAGCATGCATACAGTACATCTAGCTTTGAAATTGTGCAATGTGATATTTTTGCAAACATTTGAACAACAATCCTTGTGCTGTAGAAGGGTGAATTGAGTATTTGAAGTGTCACCTTCACAACCAGTCAATCAACTGAAAAGTACACTAACCTGAATCACAATTTGACCAAAAATAAATCTATAAAGTAATTTTATTTCCTACTTAAGTCGAAAGAGCTCCCTCAATAGGCAGCCAGTCTGTGTTTGCTGAGAGCAAAAAAAGCCCTTTGCAGGAAGGGTTTTAGGTTTTATTTGCAAAAAGGGGTTAAAAGAGAAATTTCTGAGGAGAATATTAGGCTAATTTAATAGAAAATTGACAAATTAAAGGAATCTTCTATGTTCCCTGATCTGGACAAGATGCATGTACAGGAATATTTCTATTCATCCATAAGAATGGGTTCACTTTAAAACGATCATGGTAAGAAAGTCATTATACTTGTAAATATGATAAATGTTTTTATTGATATTTGCTGTTTCTCTTCAAAGGTTGTTGAATTAAGGGGGTCCTTAGATGGGTATTTTAAAATAAAACTTATTATTTATTTCACTTTATTGTTCTCTCAGCTTTGTATTTTGTAGCAAACTTATCATAGTTGAGTTTCAGTTTGGGATGAATCTTTTCAGACTCCTGACTCAGCACTACTTTCTAATTAATAGTTATAAATTATTCTCAACTATACTGATCTGACCAGACAGTTTTGAGTAATAACGCAGAGCAAGCTTCAGAAAGCCTTAATTGTAAAGTTTGTTTGCATTGAGAGCTGTAAGACAAAGCAATCACAAGCTGAGTTGTACTGGGAGCTACAATGTGTGTTGGATGAAATGGCAGGAGTATCTGTTTCAGTCTCCAATGGCAATGGTCACATGCCCAACACAAGACCAGCATATGAACAGAACGGCACCACAACTGAAGAAATACCCTTAACAAATGGTTACCATGGGCCTCAAACAAGCAAACATAATGTTGAAGAACTTATTACTACGCCTTGCATTCAACAGAGACTAGAAACATATAGAGAATCAAAGCAGGTCAGAATAGGTAAATTTCTGGCTTATTTGGGTAACAGACAAGTTGAATATCTTGAAAGAATGTCCCCAAAAGTAGTGTGAAAGTATACTTGTTGCATGAAACCTCCCAAACTGAATACTTCAGAATTTGAAAACAGAGTAAAGCAGTTGTGTGAGGCCATTCATAAAGAAAGGAAATCAACCAACCATCACCTGTAAGTTGATGCATTTGATGAATCAGAACCTTAATTAAGCAGTGATATCTATGTGATTAAAATATCCTTTCATTAAAAAGAATCTAAATTGCTTCAAAAGATGTAGAGCAGTTTTTAGTTTGCAGTATGAAGTATAGCTTTGGAAATTGTGTGACGTGCCATGTATAGGAATGTCATAATAAAACAATATTTGGGGTTTTTGAAAGCAATTCAGGATATGTGATTGGTCTAGAGACCTCATGCATCAACCACTCAGATACAAAATTAAAACAGATTACTTGTGTTTTGCCTGGAGTTGAGGTCATTTGCATGCTATTACTTTATTACTTGGACGATGGTCAACACTTCGGTTTAGGTTTCAGTCAACTAAAGAGTGCCCTAAATTAAGTTGCCATATGCAAAAACAAAAACTGTCCAAAAAATGTATTTTCTACTAAAGTTGACATAGCTAAGTTACACACATTTTTACAAGCAAGGAAACAAAGAAACCAGTTTGTGATTATTCTGAGGATGACAACTTCTTCTAAGGAAGGGTTTTTATTTGTTTTTAAGCCTTTAACTCCCAAGATCCGATTAGTTATTCTCCTTACTGTCTGCTATACAGTTCTTGTGATGTTAGTTTGGAGAATTTGGTATTGGATCAACTTATAATCCCCAAATTTATATTTTTCTTTTTTTCTCATCACTTGTCTGCTTCATATTGTATTGTAAGGATAAATTCTGTCTTGGACACTCATGGGAGTAAAAGGGTTAAAGAGGACTTAAAAAGTAATACTCTTGAAGGAAATTTTTTTTGGGGGGGAAGGGTAACATTGGAAAACTGACAGTAAATAAATTATCTATGTTCTCTGTTCTGAGGAAGAGGTCTGTACTGGAAAATTTTTATTCAATATCAAGAATGGAGTTAATTTTAAGCTAACTAATAGTAACAAATTAATAACTATATAAATATTTTAATTGTTCCTTTCCATTTCTTTCCAATGGTAATCGAATTTAAGGGGATCCATAGATGAATATTATAAAATAAAACTAATTATTTATTTTACTTTATCATTGTCTCAGCTTTGTAATAAGTAGTCTTGAGCCCTGCCTGTGCAATTGTAAGATTACTTGTGCTTTCAATTATTAGTATTGTGGGGAGTCTTAGTACCATATATGCTGAACTGATAAAATTAAACCGCCCTATGCTGAAAACTTAACTGAGGTGGCGGTCTTCATTGGACAGGAAAATTTTGGCACCATGACACAGCAGTCATGAGGATTCTCTGAAATTATCTGAAACTATCATCTTAAGAATGTTTCCATGAGCAGAAATATCTTAATGCATTTATTTCACAAATAACAGATGACTGGACATCCCAGGGAATCAAGACATATTCCCCACAAGAATTAAAAAAGCAACACTATGTTATCGTCACAAAACTTCTTCTGTCATCATATTCATTCTTATCTTCTTTGGCTCATCGAGACCTGCCCCTTATCACTAAAAACTAGAGTTTGATTGTTGCTTTATTAATAACCTCTTACTTGCAATATTTAATTTTTCAATGATTGATCATTCTTTAGGGGGTCCAGAAGGGGGTTTAGAGAAGGGTCCTGAAGAGATGCTATACCTCTACAGAGTCACTTGACGCTTTTACAGTGTTACACTTGATACACGTGTTTGTTCGGGAATTGCATTGTGATAAAAAAAGGCCCAAGTCATAAACAAGGAAAGTACAACTGATTGTTAGAAAATTAAATTTTTCTGTGGTGTAAGGAATTAAAATGATTTTTTTCGAACACAAAAGTTACGCATAAATTTGCAAACGACGACTTTCGAACTCGCAAACAATTATGCGACCACTCTTTAACACTGTTAATAAAGCAGGCCGTTTAATTTGTCTTGGGTCCATTTCCTCTCTGGCAAACTTGCCTGCAAATTTTCCACCCAGCGTAAATATTTGCACGTCATCACGATATTCACAACAGACTAAAAGGTGACCTGTTTTGTCCACTGCCAGTCCAGTTGGGTGATTAAATTCTCCATCCCTTGTACCATATTTGCCGAATTCGTATAAAAAGTGCCCCTTTTCACTATAAACCTTTACGAGGTGAGCATCTCGATCGGATACAAAGATTTTGAGGTCATAGCACAGGCAGTCAAGTGGCCATTGTAACCAGCCCTTTCCTATTGTCCTAAGAATGTTACCACCAGGAGAAAAAAACTTAACACACTTATTCCCGGTATCACAAACAACGAGATTGCCCATTGAATCAAGGCAAATTCCCCGAGGATCTCTTAGTAAGCTGTCTTCAGTTGCAGTTGAAATTAATTCACCATTTTGATGAAAACATGATATTTTGTTACTGCCTCTGTTAGCCACATAAATCTTACCTTCATTGTCTACACTTATCCCTGTGGGCTGATTGACCTGATTCTGTCCAAAGGTCCTAATACACTGTCCATCTTCATTAAAGACTAAAATTGTGTTATTTTCTACATCAGTAACAAAAATCTCATCTAAATTGTTAACAGTCACTCCCCACGGCTGACCAAAATGTTTTTGTTCTATAAATCCAATGCTCTTGAAGGTTCGTTCTCCTACGTCAATTAGTGGAAGCTCCTTCAGCTTTTCACCATTTACTATAACAGTTGCTAGATGCTGTCCAGCTTCACCTGGAATAAAGGAAATTGCGTAGCTGCCATTATTTTCGTCAACGATCCTCACATCTGCAGCAGTTTTTCCACTCTGAGCTGACTTGATTTCTGCCGTGATATAGTCCCCTGGGCAATAGTACTGTTGTTTCGTAGAGTTACGCGTGATAACTTTGAACTTGGATTCTAACCCCGCAGTTGCTTCTTCAGATAATTGTAGTGAACATTGATCTGCGTCAGTTGCAGTTTCATCTAAGCGACCGAGTTTCTCTTCATGAAGTCTCTCGTGAATTTCTTGGTTTTTTAAGAATACAGTCTGAAAGATTTTTCTGTCTGTGGGTAATGGAATCTCGAGTGGATCACTGAGCCCTTGAAATATTTCATCTACGGATTTTTTTGTCCTGACAATTTCTGCTCCAGTGCTCCGTTTGAGAAGGCGAGTTATTTGTGAAACGATCTCTTCGGTCCTCGTCAGATGATAACAACAACAACAACAACAGCATTTATTTAAACACGATAAAAAATTCAGCAAAAGCTGATGTGGTCGTGTACGGACAATAAAACTAAATTCCTAACTAAATCCAATAAAACTAAATTCCTAACTAATTATAAGAAGACTAATGTAAGATTTCTACATATTTTCAACAATAAAAATTCTACATAGTACATCATTATAACATACGTGGCTTAAAAATACACTTGAGTGACTTTTTAAAAGCGTCAACGTCTTGAATTGATCTCATTTGATTTTCCAGAGCGTTCCACCGAGTAATTGACTTGTATGAGCATGATTTCTTGACCATATCGGTCTTAGGTCTAGGTAACTTAAATGTCATTTTCCTCCTGAAGTCGTAGCTACTTACATACTTTTCAAAGTGACGGCTCATAGGACGTGGCAAAAGATTATAATAAGCCTGATGCGCTAAGATTAGTAATCGTTTCTCATACATAATCTCTAAGGTATTCCATTTTACTGTGGCAAGAACCTCCTTGCTTGGAGTACACCAATCCAAGTTAAATATTATTTTCGCCGCTCTAACATGTATAGATTCTAAGCTTGAGAAAAATACTCGACCACAAGAGCCCCAAACTAACATACCATATGTCACAGACGGCAGAATAACCTTAAAATAGAAATCAATTCTTGCCTGTATAGGAAGGAAATACAAGGATTTAAGTAAATTCAACTTCTGCGTATATGACTTAGCTAATTCCGATACATGATGATCCCATTTAAGAGCATTATCTATCTGAACACCTAGGCATCTTGCAGAAACAACCTCCCCGACAACATAATCACCTATCTTAATAGCTTGTTTTGGCCCAGTAAATTTTCCGCGTCCACCAAGCAATATATATTCCGTCTTGGTGGGATGTGGAGTGAGACAGTTCTCGCAACACCATGTATATAGCCTTGCTAGTACTTCATTCAACTTGGAGGCCACCAGATCGTAGGTCGGAGCTGAGACATAGACGGTGGTATCGTCTGCGTACATGTGAAGCTGTGGGTCACCATCTATTCCCTCAGTGATATTGGGCAGATCATTACAGAAGATGGAAAACAGGGTAGGGCCCAGCACCGACCCTTGAGGTACACCAAAAGTAACTGGCATAGCTTGAGATTGACACCCATTAATCGTCGTTACTTGCGTTTTTCCAGAGAGGTAATCTCTTATCCAACACCAC